TATGTGTTTTAGACATCTATATAAAATGCTCTCTATATAAGTGGCCAAAAATAATCCCTAACTAGTAAGCATTGTTCATGGTTATATTCTCAACAACTACTATTGAATCAGGCAGAGAACAATCGCACACTCACTATTTATGGAATAAGTAATGTTGGTTGTGAAGAAAAGAATGTATTATGAATGTATGTATTTCTAACACATTATAGATGTCCCCAAAGAAGAATAAAAAAAAAAACAAACACAACAGAGTCAGTATGATGAAATGGGAGAGGGGTAATTCTCGACTAAAACAAAACCTGTTTTGTATTGCAAAATAAAAGTTTGTACTGCAAAGCCATTTGCAAAATATATTCCATAATTTATCTCTATAGCGCCACAGAATAATGTCTTCTAGATGGATTCATTTATCTAGTCAAAAAAAATGAGTGCCTGCTCTGTGCCACGCACTGTTCTAAGCTCTGTAAATGCCACACCAAACAAAACAAAGCCAGTGCCCTCATGGAGGTTACATTTTCATGGACAAGATAGGCATGTAAGTAACCAAATAATTTTGTAGAGTGTCAGAAGGTAATCAGTGCTGTGGAACAGCCATGAAGCAGGGTAGGGAGAGGGAGCACCAGAGGCAGGGGAGGGCATGCTCTTCCATTTAGAGTGGTGAGGGAAAGCCTCACTGACAAGTCTTAATTTAGCAAAGACCCATAGAAGGGCAGCAACAAGGCATGTAGATACGGAGATGGGAGAATGGACTGTTTCAGACAGAGGGGTTAGAAATTCTCAAGTGAGAATGTGCTTGTCAAGTAAGAGGAACAGCCCTGGCAGGCCTTGCAGCCAGAGAGCTAGGCTAGGAGCCAGATCCTAGGAGTTTAAGTCAGCCCTTTGTAGAACTTGTGGGCAAGAGGGGGTGCTTGTGTACAGTGACCGATAAGCATAGGAAAGTGTGCTTAACCAATTTATAAAGCAGAGAAATAAAAATTAAATGTATTTATTTTGTTCGGACCTGACAAATTAATAAGATTGATTATGCTTCATGTCAGTGAGAATGTGAGAAAATGGGTCATATCACATCTGGCTTATGGGAAGTACCCATTTGGACAATTTTTGGAAAAACACCCTACATAGAAAATTTAAATTTTAATATATTTTACCTTGTCATTTTAGTTCTGAGTTTATTCCAATAATGTTGTCAGAGGGAAACATAAAGGTATATTTACAAGAGAAATTTTATTATAAAATTACTTAAGATTAATAACAAATTTGGAAATTACCTAAATGTAATGTATATTCTAATACATTCATTAAATATAATATTAGGGAGCCAATAAATATGGAAACTATCTATGGAAGAGAAAGACATTTGAGACCTGATATCATTTTGGGTTTTTTCACTTCCTAATAGAAACCCCACTTTTTCGTTAGGCATGTGACCACATGCAGTAAACACTTCATTTCTCAGCGTCTGTTGCAGCTACGAGCTGCTCTGTGACGAGGCTGTGGTTAGTGCTTATAGGAAGGCGCAGTTCTCAAAAGGGAGGACTGCGCTTTAATGACAGTGAAGGCTGCAGCTCCAGCAGTGCATTGAACCGAGAAGTGACCTTTGAAGCACAAGGCACTCCTAGAAGTGGGATCATGGGGTCAAATGGCAGTTCCATTTTTAATTTTTTTAGGAAGTGCCACGCTGTTTTCCATAACAACTGCCCCAGTCTGCAATCCCACCAGCAGTGTACTAAGGTTCCCCTTTCTTCACACCCTCGCCAACCCTTCTTGTTTGACGATGTATTGATGGCAGCCATTCTTCTAGGTGTGAGGTGATATCTCATTGTGGCTTGAATTTGCATCTCTCTGATGATTAGTGAATTTGAGCATTTTTTCATGTGTCCTAAGAATTCTGAAATACCAATCAGAAAGAATATATGCACCCCTATGTTCATAGCAGCACTATTCACAATAGCCAAGATCTGGAAACAGCCCAAGTGCCCATTGCTAGATGAGTGGGTAAAAATGCTGTGGGACACTTACACCATGGAGCTGTAAAAAACCGGATCTCTTACCCTCTGAAACAGCGTGGAGGGGCCTGGAGAGTATTATGCTAAGCAAAATCAGCAATTAGTGTGTGTATAAATTGGCTTTCTTCTACAGATTGAAAGTTAAAATAATGAATACTTACATGCAGACATAGTATATTGATAATGTTTTAAAATTTTTACACTTTGATAATTTTCAAAAGCTACTATGGAGGGGTACATTCAGATTGGCCTTTATATATGTTTTTAGGTGAACTTATAAGTGAGCTCATGGATAAAGCATTTTCATATATTTTAGGGTTCATTAAAAATATGACTCATAGTTCACTGAAAAATATTATTAAAAATAGCCTATGGCCAAGTTAGAAATAAATCATTATCAATCAAATAAATATAAATTAAAATTAAATGAGAATCTAATCTATAATCATAAATATGGGCACTGGAAATCAAATATTAGTAATATTCAAGTGAAGGGCCAATGAATGATTCTAGGTGACAAAGAAAATGCTATCCTAAGAATATAATCATTGCTTAACATCAAGATATCTATTAATGTAATATCAATAGTTCAAATCAAAAGATAATACTTTCTATTTACTCTAGTCTACATAAGGACCCAAAATAGCATTCATCCCTGAGAGGGAGACAAACCATATAAAAAATAACAATGTAAATATACATTTTATTATAAAATAAGTCTAGCTTAAATCAACAGGAAATACTATAGTTAGTTATGAAATACTATAGGCCTTTCCATTAAAATAATAATTAAGGATGCCCAGTATTGCTATTTTAATTTTTTAATATTATCTAAAGGTATATGATAAATGTAGAACCTCATGAATATGAAATAAAAGCTGTGAATATTGACAAGGAAGAGACAAATCTATGATTTGCAGATAATAAAATTTTATATGTAGAACTTTTAGAAGAAAAACTAAGTGAAAAACTGTCTAGATGAGTGAATGATCGGTATGAATCCTGAATTAAGTTTATATATATTTAAGAATCAAGAGCTCCTGCCATTTGCTTTTAACACTCACAGCAATATTGGAAACTACAGAGGAAGAAATTCTCATTAAAAATAGCAAGAAAATACAATGTGTCTAGGAATATCCTTATACAAAAATTTGAGGTTATATGAAGAAAAATATGTCTTTGTTTAAAGATAATACATATATATGTGTGTGTGTGTGTGTGTGTGTGTCTTAATGATTACATAAAACATGGTCCTAGGTAACCAAATGTACCTATTTATATCCCATTCGAACCGCATTTAGCGGTCAGGAAATGTATAACATCATTCTAAAATTGACCTGGGAGCATGTACAAAAGTAATTAAGGCAAGTGTGAATAAGGGAGATTAACAGTATGATGTGGCATAGCCCTGAAAGTTAAATCAGTGCATGTAACAGGAATGACTTCTGCCACAGAGTTCCCAGTATGTGACAGGTAGTGCAACAGGGAGCCAAGGCATACACAGACCATCACTCCTGCTCTATCGGAGTCAAGTGTTAGTGTACCTGCTTTGTGCCTGGAAACTGGTGCCAGAGAAGTTAACTAATTTCTTTTTAAAATGCCACAGATGTATTTTATAAATGCAGGTTATAAAAGAAGAACTCATTCTACAATGGGATGCTATTCAGAGAGAATGATTTTCTTACTTTCTGTTTTCTAGACCAGATTTCCAGATACCTGACTGTTTTTGTTTTCTCTCTAAAGGAATATCAGATTACCTACGGTATGCTTACAACAAGGCTGTTGTTTTGTTTGGGGTGTTTTTGAAGCTAGTTTGAATAGACTCTAATCCCTTACAGTCAAAGGTTTCCTAACATACATACCAAAATCTGGTATCTTTATTTTATAGCCTTCAAACACAAGTAGCCCAGAGCACATTCTAAACTAATGTTAAAGACAATGGTATAATTTGTAAAAAGAATGAAAAAGATTCATGTAGTGTATCTTTCACATCATTGAAAAGAAATCAGTATTATTCTCAGCAATAAAAACCCATAGTTCACAGCAAATAACTTACAGATATTTTAGAGAATAAACAAATCTTAAAGCAATGACAAGAAATTATAGGTGGACTAGGACAGTATTTAAGTTTGAAAAATAGAAGCAAACAGAAGGAAATGTAAAAGAATTACTAAAAATGTGTGTGTTTTAATAATATCACACACAAAATTTATTATCAGACAACTAAAAAATGCTTGCTAACATATGACCATAAGCTAAAATGTTATTATATAGAAAGTATTTCCATAAGTTAATAAGAAAAACTTGTAACAAAATAGAAAGATATAGTATGAATTAATAATTCACATAAAAAACTAGCTAATAAAGATGTTAAAAGGTCAATGATAATAACAAAAAAATATGCCAATGAGGCTATTTTTCATCTATTAAATTAGTAACTATTAAAAAGAGATAATTTCTTTGTCTCTAATTAGAGATATTTAATTTCTAAGACATTTAATTTTATTATCTTAGGTTTCTTATATGCAGAAAAGTGGGCATAAAACTTTGACATTAAAAAGTGTAAAAATATTTACACTTGCATCTAGAAATTCAACTTTTTGGAATACATTATAAAAAAATAAACTTATACCTAGACAAAGTAAAACCGTAAAAATATTTATCATCACACATTGTGCAGGAAATAAATATTGAAAAGGACATTAAAAGTAAGTAAAGGTTTAAGCCTGGCCGGGCGTGGCTCAGCGGTTGAGCGTCAACTTAGGATCCAGGAGATCGGGGTTCAATTCCCGGTCAGGGCACATGCCCGGGTTGCAGGCTCAATGCCAGGTCGGGGGTGTGCATGAGGCAGCCGATCAATGACTCTCTCTCATTGATGTTTCCATCTCTCTCCCTCTCCTTTCCTCTCTCTGAAATCAATAAAGATATATTTTTTTAAAAAATTGTTTTACAATGAGCATGACTTACCTTTATGATAAAATGGGAACACAAGCATACTTTTAAAGGAATTTTATTAACTTAACAATAGTAAGACAGTGATTTTTGGCCTGGTATTTGCAAAGGGTGGTCAGTTGGAAATCCGGTACAAAAATATTCATAATCAAAAAATGACCTTTTAAAGTAGCAGATTCATAAAGACCATAAAGCCTCCATTTGCCCTGGAAGAAGTAGAAAGAGAACACTGCTATTAGTAACTAGAAGTAAGATATAAATAGAACTAATCTTTACTGTGAGATATATCTTCACAAAAGGGCTATGTATCTATCGTGCCCAAAGAAGATCTGTACTAGGGCCTCCCTGCCTAGTGTAGATTCATCAGTAAGCATTTGACACCGTGGTACTAGCAGGCCTCATCTCAAACAGAGTAGGGATGTGACTCAGCAAATCAGACTGGGGAAGGAAGCCAAACTCCAACTGTACATAATGTGTCCAATTATTTTGTTTTGTGCATGCATCAGAACTAAATATGGTCTACTCACCAAGTAGGTTTTTAAGAGAAATAAGGACTGAAGAATTTTCTCTCTGGACTTAATCATTTCTTATGCCACCATTATACTATGCTCAGATGCAAATAAAACCAGGGCTTCCCCAAGGGATATTAAAAAGGGCAGATAAGGTGAGCCTTTGCACTCTATCACTGTTCTCCATTCCATCTACACTTTATGTATAGATACTGAGCAGGAAGCACCCAAATCTACTTCTTGGATACATTTACCTGAGATGCTTCATATGAGTTTTAATTCCCAGGGAAGAGGTAGAAATATCGTGTCAAGGATACTCTGTCAGTAGTGGGCATCTGGAGCTCTTCAAGCGATGTGTCGAATGAACGTTGAACCTAAAGTAGCAAAGAACGCCTTTAGAGATTTTCCAAAAGGAAATCTGAACTTCTCATTTAGGGGGTCAGAAAATGTATATTATGTATTAAGCTGTTGCAGGTTGGTATAAATAGAATAAATTTTTAGCTTTTCTTTGGATATAGTACATATACAAGGACACTAGTCCCCTCAAAAGCATTCCCTGAGTGAGCAAGGCTATCAGAATCAGAAAAACTCAGACTGGTATGAGTACTATGAAGTACTTTGTAGTACTTCAAAAAACTTCAAGTTTAAATAAACTTGGAGTACGGGAAGGAGCATCAAGAGGACTTAAGGCTTCAGGATTCCTGTAAACATTTTTCAAATGGTTCTCGGAAGTTTTCTGGGGCATGGAATAAAAGGAAAAGAAGATCCCTACCTTTCGAAAAATCTCCTCCAGATGATGACACCAAGAATATTCTTTGAAATGGTAGATAATTTGGTCAATGAAGAGAGAGCCACTTTTGTCCTTTCTCCAAGAAATATTATCTGCAAATAAAAAAGTATAAAAATATTGGGGGATACAGCCTTTGTTTAAGTGTGGAAGACTCCTAGAGCCATAGCTGTTGGACAAAGTTTAATTTTGAAGCTTTGGAGGAGAGAGGGAGGCCAAAGTTGGATAGAGCTGAAACCACAGGTTTTCATAGCAGCCCAAAGAAAACCATCATGGACCCTCAATCATAAATCCCCTTGAGTTCCTCAGTAGAGGGCCAAAGTTTGGCCCTTAGGATTGCAAGTAGTAGGAGAGAGCATAAGTCCTCTCAGCACTTAACACATAATAATAAAAGAATCCAGCTCTTGACATTCTTTGATTCTGGCGTTTCCCTTCATCCATACTGTTTTCTAGTATACTTTTTTTTACACTTATAGATTTGTCATGTGAATATCTTTTGAGTTACTACTTCTCTTTACCATTCAATGTGGTCAAATCTACTGTCATAAAAAGTAAATATTCTAATGGTCAGTTTATCTGCAGCTACCTTCCTATTTCTTCTTCCTTTTAAAAGTTTGAGCTCTCAAATATGTCTCTACTCACCATCTTTATTTTCTCCCAGCCTGTTCACTCCTGTCTAGCTTCTCTTTCCCACACTATATTTACCAAATGACTTTCTGCAAGGTCACCCATGTCCGCCAAGTCATTAAATCGAATGGTAACTCATTGGGCCTCACCTTTACCTGATCTCTCATTCACATCAGAAACTATTGGTAACTCCAACACATTCTTTCCTGGTAACTCTGACAACACCTACTCCTAGTTTTCTTTGTAATTCTCTGACCATAACTTCTGAGTCTAATTTGATGACTAAAACTTCTATCTCTGATCTTGAACTCTAGAATTTTTCAAGCCTTAGATACAGGATCCCATATCACTCTGTTCTCTGTTTCTAGATCATTTTATCTATTTTTAGAACATTAAATGTCATCCTTAAGCAAGCATCTTCCAAAATTCCAACACAGATCTCTCCTCTGAAAAATGCATCTATGTAACTCTTTACTCTTAATTTCATCTCGAAATATGCCAAAGGCATCTCAGACTTTCTTTCAGGATTCCCATTTTCATGAATGTACCACAGTCATCTACTTGCAAACCTGAGTCACCTCTAGCATCCCTCTTCTTTACCTGCTAAATCCACTGACCACCAGGTCATATTAATTTCCATCTACTAATTACTTCTTGGAGCCAACAATTTACCTTATTCCAAAACTGTCATTATCACCTGTGGCTTGTAATACTGCAATAGCATTTTAACCTGTCTCCCTAGATTCAACTCACACCAGACTGTAATCCATTCCCCACAGAACCCCCAAAGTGATCATTTAAAAACAACAATATTATCATTTCCTTGCTTAAATTTCACCAAAATTTTCTATTACTATTGGTATAAAGTAATAGTAATAAAGTATATTAGTATAAAAGGCCAAATTCTTTCCTGACATATGAGGCCTCAAATTGCATGGCTCCTGCATACCTCCCCAACTTTCCTCTCCCTCTTGGTAACTCTCCCCTCCCTCCATGCACCAGCTTCAATGGCCTGTTTTCCAAGTCATTTCTTTCTCAAGTCTCTGTGTACACAGCTTTCTCTCTCTGGTATGCTCCTCTCTTACCCTTGACGTGGTTAACTTCTTCATCTTTCAAATGTGAGCACAGATTTTTCTTTAAAGCACTGATCATAGTTGGCAATCATTTATTTCTGTAATGTTATGTGTAGATTTCCCCTCCCTAAATAATTTCTGCCTCTCTGATCTGACCATACACTCTGTAAGGTCCAGTAACCATGTCTGCTGAAATTTGTATCATATGTCCTGCACCCAACCCAGCCCTAGCCCATAGTTATGTGTATAAAAAAAATGAATGCAAGAATTTTACATATTAGACTTTATTTTCTCAACTAAATTAAACAATCTCTTAGAGTATGTGTCAAACTATATTTAACTTTTTAACTACCTTTGAAAGCAAAAGGTGTAGAGTTCTTCTTTTAAATATATATTCTCCAATATATAAAATAAAATAAAGTAGAACTATTCCAGATGAACAGTTGGCCTGCATGGCCTTTTTTTGTATTTCCCCAAGCGAGACTGAGGATCCTCTAGTTCCTTGTTACTCACTTTTGGTCACAGACCAACAGCACTGGCATCACCATGAAGATTTTCTGAAAAGCAGATCTTCTGAATCAGAAATCTGCATTTTAATGAGATTCCCAAGTAATTTCTATGCACGTTAAAGTTTGCAATTAACACACTGGAGCACTTAAAACTGTAACTTGTGTAAACTGGGGTCTAAAAATTGCCCTTGTTATCTAAATGGTTGCTAAAACAATGCTGTGAATGACTGTTATATCAAGAATATCTTTTGTTCTACCTTCTACTCTCCTACTATGACTTTCTTACCAAAGAAAGATTTTCAGTCATTGGCTGAATTATCCTGAAGGTAGGCACCTGAATGTTATCAGATTTCCTAAGACCAGATTCAAATAACAGGCCAAGAGGTTCTAGGATATGTGGAACAATTATTACAGTTTTCCTGGCTGGCTCATTTAATTGCTAGTCAATGATCAGGTGGACCAAACCAAGAGAAGATGATACATTTCTGTGCCATAGGCATATTTTTTAAAAATGGAAAAAAACCTCTTATATATAGACTATTGTAAGTATTTTAAGTCTGGATCCTCACTGAACTCCTATTTAGCTTGAAAGTTTCCCCCCAAATCAAGACTATAACTTTCTAGTTTTGAAAATTTTAGAATTTTAAATGTCACTTCTATCTAAAATATCATCAGAGAGGAAATGTTCTTATATTAGTGATAAATATGATCATAGCCTAGCCTGTAATCTAGGCACTAACAGATTGAGAAACTGTTCTCTCTAAAGTCACTTACGTGGAGTTGAAGACTTGAATGCAATGAAGTCCTTCTCCACGTGGGTCTTTGTAACAGCATCACTCCAGCCGTAGTACTGAAAATTCCGGTCATATCTACATGCACAGGCTTCTCCCATTTCTGGCACCCAAACACTCCCAACACCTCCTGAGAGAGACATCCGTGTCATATGGAAGCTATAGTCAAACACATACACAGACACCAACACAAAATCTTTCTCCACCATTCTACCTTTACTTCAGTACATTTTAATATAGCATTTATTAAAAATGAAAGTATCTTACTACTAGGAAAACTACCTCACTGACCGTGAACCATACAAAGCCCATGTAAGTTTAGAATCAACTTGTTGACCATCTAGTTGCAAATGACTGGGCATTCCTAATTCTTCTAGGCTACTTATCATTTCTTTAGGAATAGTACAGACTTAACACAATTTCTGGACTGGGCCTAAGAGTAGTACTGAAATGTTTTTTCTGCCCGGCGGCTGGGAGTGGCTCAGCGGTTGAGCATCGACCTAGGATCCAGGCGATCGGGGTTCAATTCCCAGTCAGGGCACATGCCCGGGTTGCGGGCTCAATCAATGACTCTCTCATCATTGATGTTTCCATCTCTCTCCCTCTCCTTTCCTCTCTCTGAAATTAATAAAGATATATTTAAAAAAATAAAAAATAAAAAAAAATAAAATGTTTTTTCTCACCCATCTCTAGGAAAATGAAGGCTACATCAGGCTAATAGGAAAAAGTGTAAGGCCACCCCCTGGGCTCCCCAACTCAGACTCACTGCCTCTGCAGGCCTGCATGATGATGACCTTGGGTTTGTCTCTTAGACTCTGGCAGTTACGGTTGTTGAAAATTTGGAAGATGGTATCATCTGGAAGTATATCTGGCTCTCCTTCCCTGTGCTTTGTCCCACAGATTCCTTCCAGGATGCCGTGTGACATAAATACCAAGATTGTACTGTCCGAGGATTGGTGCTCTTGGCGGGCAGCAAACTCCCATAGCTCTGCTTCCATTTCCTGAAAGAGACTCCAGAATTGCTATGAAGAAACTCTCCACATATAATTGGTACTCAGATTGCAGACAGAGTTAACAAAAAGGTTCAGGCACCAAGGAATCAGGTGATTTGGACTTTAGGAAGATGCCAGGAGATGAAATACTAGTCCCCATAGGAAGGCTTAGCTTTCATCTGCTTTATATGTTGGAGCTCCTATAAGTTTTCATTCGGAGAGAAAGAGGGAGAGCTTTCTATTGACAAAAATTATAAGCACTTAAATTTCTTCATCATGGAACAGTAGAAAGTTAGTTTTAAATGGTTTGTTGAAAGTCACCCAGGGTATCTTACGCGAAGCCAGAATCATAATTTTGTGCGCGTGTGTGTGTAAACATTTTTGTTATTTTTACTACATACCTGGTTTTACATTTAGACACATGATTTTGAAGTTATAAAAGTCTCATGAGCTCATTCTGAAGGTATCAGGCAATTTTAGGGCCCAGGTCATTCATCTCACCCACACTATCAAGTAATAGATGCCTCTCAGATTGAGACCTTTAGAAAGAGCCAACATTTTTAGTGAGATACTACTACATAGAGGTGCTCTAAACCTTTGAGATGAGACTGTGCACTGGAGAGGCAGAAATCCGGGGGATCCTATTCTGGAGCAAATATAATTCGTATAACATTTATTTTGTTCATGTAGGTGCTAAGGAAGAAATTCAGTGTTCAGGATGGTAGGAAGCTTGTCCTACTCTCCTGAGTCATTACCGAGGCTGTAAGATTCACTTTTACAACCACTGTGTATCCAAGGCTTTCTAGCAGGTCTTGCATCCCCAGAAGGTCAACTTCAGAACCATGCCGGTTAGAAAGGTAATCAAATTCTTTGTTGTGGATGATGAGGGCCAGGCGTGTTCGGCCCTCTTTCTCCATCACTGGATATATCTGCAATAAACAGATACAGAGTGAGTGGCCCCAGGCCTCCTCCCTTTTGCCTCCAAAGTCCATGCAGAACAGACCGTTAGAATTATAGAGTGGATGGCCGGAGAGCTTAGGGATGGAACTATGTCCTCATGAGGAAAGAGACAGGCCCACAGACAGAAAACATGGAGAAGGACCTTGGCATTGATTAGGCAGTGTATAGGAGTTTAGAGTGTGTTCCAGGATGGGATGGAAGAAACAGGAAATCTAATGTAAGGATAACTTAATAGATAAAATGATCAGGTAACATCCTATGCCTTTTGGCTCGATCTTAAGGCATTTATAACAAGAATGAAAATCCCCAGTGTGTCCCCAGTATCTTGCTTGAGTGGACAAATCGTGTTTCTCTCTATTCCCAGGCAAAATACCTCATCTGCCTTTGTGGTCCTTAGTCTATGGAAATGATCAGAAGGACAAAGCTTCAACTCATGAATGTGTTTGGAAGTCTGGGTTTCTTGAGGAGCTAAAAGAGAAACAAAACAAAACCAAACAAACAAAACCAAACAAAAACCTCAGTAAGCAATAGCATCCACTGTTTTGCAATCACACAGTTCTTTTGCGTGGGCTCTCATTTTTTGGATACTGCCATTCCACCAAAAAGCTTAATATCATGAACATATTTTATATTTAAAATTACTAAAACAAAAACTTGAATATTCCCCCTTTTTCTTTCTGTCTCTTAGTGACCCCACCTTATATTTCTGTTTTTGTTAGTGGTCACGGCATTAACTAATCTTTCAACCCAACACATTAAATTCATGTAAACACAGTATCTAAGATTTAGAAAGAAGCCTAATGTTTGGTTAGCCTAGTGAAGTCATTATTCAGATATTTGAATGGCACTTAGAATGCCCCTACTTTATTATTACCTCTCTCTAAAATATCTTCACTAACAGGGAACTTAAAACATTCTAACCCATTTCGGAATACTAAAGTATGAGCCACCAAAAACAAACAAACAAACAAACAAAGGTCTAATTCCTTTCCCTGTGAAAGCCCATGAATTTTTCTATGACTTTAATATCTCTCCCCATTATTTTATATAATTGCCCCATATAAACAATCATTGTATTTTATCTTAATTGTAAGCTTAATTAGGACAGGGAAGGTGTCTTTAATCTTTGTATTTCCAGTATCTAGCAAGATAATCTGGCACACATTAATGATGTCTGGTAATGTTTATAACTGCTTGTTAATGAATACAGTAGTTACCTTCAACTTGGAAACAGCTACCAAAATATCTCCTGGTTCCTTGTTTCTCCTTAGAACAGCAAGCCTCTGCTCCTTCTAATATTTTCTGCATTAAAATTATTTCATCTTTTAACCAACAAATCTATCAGTTTTTCCTACATCTCTACTCGCCTACTCTATTTTTCCTCTTACTACAAAGAAAGACAAGTTCTTCTTCCTGTGAGATGTGATAGCTCTACTTATGCTCTGAGTTCCAGTCCCTCTCACCCACGGGACTGGACTCAGGCATGTATTCAGCTGTGTCTTCCACATCAACAGTTTCTCTCACCCTTCCAACTGAATTGTCCCCATTGGCACATCAGCATGCCTTCATATCAAGTTATCCGTTAAAGACACCTCCCCTTGACCCCGTTGCCCCTCCAGCTATTACTGTCCCATTTCTCTGCTCCACTTCTCAGCTCAGTTCCTTAAAGTCTTCATCTACGTTCATTATTTTTTATTTTTTCAACTCATTTTTTCTCCTGGATGCAATATAAATTATCCTCACCACTTACGTGAAGTACTTGTTACCAAGTTTACCAATGACCATATTTTGCTTTCCTATCATTTAACATGGTTGAACACACCTTGTTTTTTGAAAATTGTTTTCTAGGCCCCTGGGATGTTGCGTTTTCCAGCATTCTTTCTAAATCTGTCCCTAGTGGTGGCTCTTCCTCTTCTGCCGCATATCCAAATGTTGGATTATTCTATGTTGGAACCTCTGCTATTCTCTATCAATATTTCTATCCAGGTGGCCTCTTTCAGTCCCATCATCTAAAATTCTATCTACATGGTGATGAATCCCAAAATTTATTCCCAGCCCTGAGTCCTCTGTGAAATCCTGCTGTTTATTCAATATCTTTGAATGTAGCACATGTTTCAAACTAAACATACACTAAGACTCCAGATATTTGTCCATTCCTACAAATCTGTTTCTCCTGTGTTTGCTCTGAATCCCAAGTTTTCTCTATCTCAGTAATTGGCACTTAGTTGCCAAGCCAAAAAACCTAGAATCACCCTTGATTCTTTCATTTATTAGTCCACACCCAATTAATCTATAGTTTCTGTTGACTCTACCTCCAAAATAGATCCCAAATTTAATTCCCTGCCATCATCTCTGTTACTGCAGCTCTAACCTAAAAGCTTTTATCCCTTAACCTAAACATGCAAACAACTTTCAACTAGAGTTTCTGAGCCTATGCTTGTTTATCCCTCCTCTGCCTAAAAACCTCTTAAAGGTTTTCTATTGTAAACAAAATCCTTTTCCACACTCTAAAAAGCCAAAAATGGCATGGCAGCAACAGTCTGACTCTTTAGCCACTCCTCCTGCCACAGTCTTCCCCTAATTTCCTACTCTCCAGCCAGACTGGCCTTTCCTATGACAAGCTAATTCCAGACTCAGAGCCCTTGTCTTGTTTTGCCTTTCCCTGGAATGCTTTTGCTTTAGAGTTTGGCACAACTATTGTTCAGGTATGTACTGAAATATAACTCAAAAGGGTTCTCATAACTATGCACTCTGGCTTATGTACCTCCCACCCCCTCAACATCTCTTTCTAGGGACTAATCCTCTTTTCTCTTGTATGTTCCCTGAAACTGCACTATTTAGTTCTTGCATGTCTATTATATATCTGTCCTCACTACACTGCAAATTCCATGTAAGCAGGATCTTTATATGGCTGATTGCTATAAACCCAGTAATAAGAATAGCATACAGTAGGTTTTCAATGAATATATGCCTATATATAATATAAGAATAGATATAACAGTGAATAAAGATGGCAACGTTTTTATTCCTTTGTCCAGAACTTCTGAGGATCTGGTGCTCAGAAGACAACACTGTCACTGCTCCTTTTTAACACTATCATTATTTGATGGGGCCCAATATTTCATCAGGTTCTTTGGTGACCACATAGTATGTGTGATTCATACTGTGGGTTTTTAACGTACCTTTCTTAACCACATCCTTATTTTGTTTTGTGAAGTTGGTAGTTGCTTATATCTTAGATTTTTCTTTTTCAATCTTTATTCATTTCAGAGAGAGGAAGGGAGAGGGACTGAGAGAGAAACATCAATGATGAGAGAGTCATTGATCAGCTGCCTCTTGCACGCCCCCAACTGGAGATCGAGCCCACAACCCGGGCATGTGCCCTAACCGGGAATCGAACCCCGATCGCCTGGATCCTAGGTCGATGCTCAACCGCTGAGCCACGCCCAGCAGGGCTATCTTAGATGTTTTATGAGTCCCTTTAAAGATGTTACTAACCCCACTTAAAAATATGAACCTCAGAAAAGTTGAGAAATATATTCCAGAGAACATGGTTAGTCGGTGGCAGTTGGACTTCACATACAGATTTTTTTAGTTTTACTCCATTTCTCTTTCCACTACACCACCGGGCCTTTCTTATATGTCCTAGCTCAAATAGTGTCATTATGTGCCCATATTACGTGTCAGAGTAGAACTGTTTGATGTCTAGGAAAATCTAGCCTGCTTCTCAGTTTCATCTTCACTTCATTTCCAGATTCTTAGATTGAAAGAGCAGGGATGAATGTGTTAATCTTACTTTTGAGGCACTTGTTTAGGGACGAAGGGAGAAATATGCGATTTCCCAAGCCTAAATTCAGTGGTCTTTTCACTGTAATATAGGGCCCCTGTATAGCTGCCTTACCCCAAGTGATATATGAGGGCTCCCAGGAGCCACTGGACTTTGATGGCAGTTACCTGCTGGAGGGAGAGCCAACGCCTGGGCGGATTTGGCGGATTTGGCGAATTTGGCGGATTCGGCGAATTTGGCTAATTTGGCGAATTTGGCTAATTTGGCGAATTCGGCGAATTTGGCGGATTTGGCTAATTCGGCGAATTTGGCGAATTCGGCGAATTTGGCTAATTTGGCGGATTCGGCGGATTCGGCGAATTTGGCTAATTTGGCGAATTTGGCTAATTTGGCGGATTCGGCTAATTCGGCGGATTTGGCTAATTCGGCGAATTTGGCTAATTTGGCTAATTCGGCTAATTTGGCGAATTCGGCGAATTTGGCGAATTCGGCGGATTTGGCTAATTTGGCGAATTCGGCGAATTTGGCGGATTTGGCTAATTCGGCGAATTTGGCGAATTCGGCGAATTTGGCTAATTTGGCGGATTCGGCGGATTCGGCGAATTTGGCTAATTTGGCGAATTCGGCGAATTTGGCTAATTTGGCGAATTTGGCGGATTCGGCGAATTTGGCTAATTTGGCGAATTTGGCGAATTCGGCTAATTTGGCTAATTTGGCGGATTCGGCGAATTTGGCTAATTCGGCTAATTTGGCGAATTCGGCGGATTTGGCTAATTTGGCTAATTTGGCGAATTCGGCGAATTTGGCTAATTTGGCTAATTTGGCGAATTCGGCGAATTTGGCTAATTTGGCGAATTTGGCGGATTCGGCGAATTTGGCTAATTTGGCGAATTCGGCGAATTCGGCTAATTTGGCTAATTTGGCGGATTCGGCGAATTTGGCTAATTCGGCTAATTTGGCGAATTCGGCGGATTTGGCTAATTTGGCTAATTTGGCGAATTCGGCGAATTTGGCTAATTTGGCGGATTCGGCGAATTCGGCGAATCTGGCTAATTTGGCGAATTCGGCGAATTTGGCGAATTTGGCGGATTTGGCTAATTTGGCTAATTTGGCGGATTTGGCTAATTCGGCGAATTCGGCGAATTTGGCGAATTCGGCGAATTTGGCGAATTCGGCGGATTTGGCTAATTTGGCTAATTTGGCGAATTCGGCTAATTTGGCTAATTTGGCGAATTTGGCGGATTCGGCGAATTTGGCTAATTTGGCGAATTTGGCTAATTTGGCGGATTCGGCTAATTCGGCGAATTTGACGGATTCGGCGAATTTGACGGATTCGGCGAATTTGGCGGATTCGGCGGATTTGGCGGATTTGGCGAATTTGGCGAATTTGGCGGATTTGGCGAATTCGGCGGATTTGGCGAATTTGGCGGATTTGGCGAATTTGGCGGATTTGGCGAATTCGGCGGATTTTGCGAATTCGGCGAATTTGGCGAATTCGGCGAATTCGGCGAATTTGGCGGATTTGGCGAATTTGGCGAATTTGGCGGATTTGGCGCATTTGGCGAATTTGGCGGATTTGGCGCATTTGGCGGATTTGGCGGATTCGGCATTTTCCTCATCTTCATTTTCTTCACTTTCGCTTTCACTTTCACTTTCAGATTCTGAGGCGGAATGAACAANTTGGCGGACTTGGCGGGTTTGGCGGATTTGGCGGATTGGGCATTTTCCTCATCTTCATTTTCTTCACTTTCGCTTTCACTTTCACTTTCAGATTCTGAGGTGGAATGAACAAATAGTTAAGCATCAGTGCTCTACTCTGAAGGTTATTTCCAAAGATGACAGTTGACTGAGAACACAGGTTTTCTAAGTCTTTACCAGAATATATTCTGACAACATCAGAAGCTTTCACCTGTGATGTGAGATTTGGAGGCAGTTACCTGTCGAGGAGGAAGATTCACTGCTGTCAGATTCATCATCCTCATTTTCTGGGTGATGTTCTGAAAGAAAAGAACATTTATTAGCAGAAGTAAGTTTCTGGAACCTACACACTTCAGGCTCTTTCCCTTGCACTGACAAGGAGATGACTGTGTTCTGCATGGGGCTACCGTAGGAAGCCTGGAGACCTGGCTCACTCTCTAAGCTCTGGCTTTATTTTAGAGGCAGCGCCATCCTGCCAAGCAGAGGGGGAGGCCAAGTTTCTATGAAATGAGGAAGAGCTCGCTATCTTCTTGTTTATATAACACAGGGAAGAGTTAAATTCTTTAATCAAGGCTTTTCTGCAAAAGCGTTTTTCATTCTCTGGAGGAAGAATACATCTCTATAAAAATTCTTCTTTCAGCAACAGCAAAACAATCGCCAAGGGATGTTCTGAGGATTTAGAACATACCCATGAATGTTTTACTCTAGAGTAGGGGTCAGCAAACTATGGCCTGCAGGCCCAACTCATCCCAACACCTGTTTTTGTAAATAAAGTTTTATTGGGACACATCCACACTCATTCTATACTTCTTATATCTTGCTGATTTCATGCTATAACAGTAGATTTGAGTGGTTCTCTGGCAGAGATCACATGGTTCAAAAAGTTTAAAATACTATCTGTCCTTCCAAAGAAAAAATGTGGCCAACCCATGCTCCAGAGCAGGGATGGGGAACACCCAGCCCACAAAATCCTTTGGTCTGGCCCCGCCAAGGCAACTGCAGATGGGGCTCAAGATTCAATAAATCTAGGAGCTTTCTTCATAGCTAATTTTTAAGTGATAATTTTGTATGGCCTGAGGATGCTGTTATAAATATCCAAATGGCGCTTGGCAGAAAAAAGTTTCCCCAGCCCTGCTCTAGAGAGAAAGATACATTTTTCTTTTACCCTCAAATTCCCTACGTCCTCCTTAAACAATGACAAATATAGGTTCCTAGAGATTTGTCTTTTCGGACAAGCCATCACTAAGCAGAAGATGGTGGGTTTTCCCTACTAAATATTCTATATCTGGGAATGACTCTAACATCCATGGTGTACCGCCAGAGTTGCACAGATTAGCTAAAAACTCTCATTAAATTTAATTCGACTCCAGCACCACTGATTCATTTAACAAATATTTACTCAGCACCTATCAGGTGCCATTTCTGTGAGTCTGGGATACATTCTTGAACAGAGCAGACAGAGATACATGCCTCATGGAGCTTACATTTTAGCAGGGAGATATATAATGAACAAATAAATGTTATGGAATGATCGAAGATGACAATTGCTAAAAAAAAAAAGTATCCGTGCAAAGTGATTGGGGGTGTTGGAATAGGAAAGGAGTAGACCAGGGCATTTTAAAGTACAAAATAAGAAAGTCAGACAAAGGGAGTGCTAGAGATGTGGATAGTTCATTCTCCACATGTGAACAGAAATAAGAACACAAAAACGGCATAAAGAGAGTAGATAAACAAGTTACTGGCCCTTTGGTCGGAAATACTCACTTAAACGCGGCAGTTTCTTGGGGTTGAAGAGATATTCCACAAGTATTTCACCTGCCATTTGCATTTTCTCAGTGAGGGCCTCAAGGAGGCTTTCGGTCCTGTTCACAGCCAGGTCAAATCTTGCTCCTAATCTTAGTAACTCGTCCTTATTTCCAACATTCTTTCCCACCAAATCATCAAAGATGCCATCAATCATGTTCTTGGTAATCACCTTCACCTAGTAAATGGGATCTTTTTTCTGTCTCTTGTCTGTAAGAATGATTGGATTTTAGATGTAAACAGGACCTTCCGTAGGTTCTAGGCCAAAGAATCTGACAAGCTTGATAAATGAGAGCTGCCTGCATGGGCCGATTTGCAAAAATTCTGATTTGTTAGGCCCTGGCCGGGTAGGTCAGCTGGTTAGAGCGTCATTCCCATAAGCCAAGGTTGCTGGTTCCATCCCCAGTCAGAGCACATACAGGAATCAACCAATGAATGCATAGATAAGTGGAACAACAAATCTCTCTTTTTCTCTCTCTTTAAAAAATATCTGATTTGATAGATCAGAATGGATCTATCAAGTTTTCATTGCAATTTATTTCATTTCTGTGAATTTTCATTCCTAACCATTCCTGAGGTGATGCCACAGACCACACTTAAAATAACACCTATCTTGTTCAAGCGCATTCCTTTATATAGATGGGGAAACTGAGGTTCAGAGGCATGAAGCAACTTCACTAAGGAGGTCGATGACAGCCGACTCGGNAGACCACACTTAAAATAACACCTATCTTGTTCAAGCGCGTTCCTTTATATAGATGGGGAAACTGAGGTTCAGAGGCATGAAGCAACTTCACTAAGGAGGTTGATGACAGCCGACTCGGGTCAGTTTTTGTATCACCCACCATCTTTTCACTTCCTGTACATTTATCACCCACCATCTTTTCACTTCCTGTACATTTATTAGTGCTTAGCTTACAAACGCCTGGTATTCAGTAGGTATGGTAGGGAAACATGAACATATTGCACCTGTAGAAGAATGCATTTTGTTTCCATGGGCAGAGCAGAAGGCCGCTCTGTCTGCAGAGGCTGAGAGCCCGAACCACAGCTGGTTCGCTCGCGGCTGCAATAGAAAGGTCAGGCAGGGAGAAGCACGCAGCAGATAAAGTTACTCCTCCTCGGCAGGGCCTTGCCCAAGCCAGAGAATGCTCATAAAATGGGTGAGAATCCCACGTCAGTGTGAGCCCAAAGAAAAGCCTAAAAGCACAGGGAAGGTTCAAGAATACAGGTCCAGATTTTGTACGTTTTCCCCTTGTTTCCCAGAAGCTGTAACACATGAACCGAAGCACTTTGTGTGTTAGCTGCGTCACTTGTGTGACCCGAGCTCCCATCGCCCACATCCCAGGGTAAAATAGTTTTGTCTGGTGAGTGCCCCTCTCATGGCTCTGCTCCTCTCCCCAACCTCAACCTCTTGAGCTATAAGTCCCCCAAAACACAGCCATAAATAGTCGAAAAACTGGAGCCACTCACCAGCCATCGCTGCTCTGGCTCCCCGGGCAGGAAAAGTCTTAAAGTGAAAGCAATCTCCTTTCCTGTTTCAGCTAACACATGGGTTTTTATTGCCTAAATGGAAAACTGCTGCTTCTCTTTCCAGGAGAGAATTTGATTTGACTCCTACGATTCGTAACTTCTTTCCTTTGGAAAACAGAGCAAAACCTGTCTTTTTTGTTTGATATAACAAAGTCACCAGAATGTGATACACACACACGCACATGTTTCTGTTTTGTTTTCTAGTCTATTTTTAACACAGTTAATAAATCAAATTGACCCTTACTTGTCCTTGTGCCACCCCTTAGCCACCAAATAGGAGGGAGGGCCCATGTGGTTGATGTCTGCTCAGCCCTGAAAGTGAAGTGTTAATGTGGAAGGCTTGAGGGGAGCAAGAAACTGGCTGGTAACTGCCCAACTTGATGGGAGTATCACTGTTTTAAAAATCCAATGTATAATCTCTTTTCTTCTCTTTGTTTTCTTTTTTTTTAAGAAACCAAAAATCAACTTTATTTTGTACATTGAAAAAGGTAAGTTCCATTTTAGTGAAATGTGCACAGGATTATTTTTCAGTTTAAATAATAGTAATAAGTAAAGATAACTTTAGAATTGTTATACTGTATTCAAATTAAGTGGTATCTGCAAAATAAGAACAATGGAGACTTGAAGCATTGGTGAGAAAAGTCCAGCACTCAATCTGAAAATAAAAGGTTAGATGTGTGGTTTAAGAAATTCAGTTAAGAGGAGGAAACAAGAGGGCCATGTAGGTCACAGCTGCGCCTGCCGCATCCCGGAACCACATCAAAATTACAACTAAAACACAGAGCCACTGTCACTCAGAGCCTCCTGAAATCTGGCTGAACAGAAGCCCCACAACCAGGGAATTGAAGAGGCACTGCGACTGGTAGGAGGGGTGGGGAAGCAGGCAGATTGGGGCTGGATCATGGAGACTCGGCCTCGGGCCCATACCTGGTGCAGCGGGTAAACCCAGGAGGGAATTTCGGCAGCAGAGGTTTCTCAGAGGAGTGAGGGGTCCCAGACCCACATCACACCCCCAGCCCAGGGCTCCAGGGCCGGGAAGAGACGTCCCCACAACTCCGGACTGTGAAACCAGCCTGGAATGTCCCTGAGGGTCATGGAAGCTGCGGGAGCCCCAGCAGCTCCTCTAAAGGGCCCGGCACGGACTCACTCGGACGCTCCCTCTGAGCCCAGCGCCGGGCAGCAGCCAGAAAGGACCCGGGACACTCGGGGAGGAACTGACCTGCCTGGAATTGNGACAGTGCACCTGGTGGTCAGACTCGACCACAGTGGATTACAACCCTACCACATCCATGAGTATCACACTTAAGGGGCGCACTTGGTGAACACCAAAGCTTCACTAAAGTAAATCCTGCTCCATAGGGGTTTCTCTNAGGCCATGGCTCCTTTGGCGAGTCCTCCCCACACACAGCCGGCAGGCAGGAGCCATGTTTGAGTCGCCAGCACCTGACTNCAGCTCTTTGGCTGTAGTTGCAGCTGCTCCTCACAGCTGATTGGCCTGGGAGTCAATTCCTCCTAATGACACCAACAGCAACCAAGGCTCAACTAAAACAGAGCAGTGCACATAGCCCACACAGGGGAGCACCTAGAAGGCCCAGCTCAGGTGACTGGGGAGGCAGAGCCACTGGACCCTACAGGACACCTACTACACAAAGCCACTCTACAAATTCCAGGAGACAGAGCAGCTCTACCTAATACATAGAAACAAACACCACAAAGCAGCCAAAATGCAGAGGCAAAGAAACATGTCACAAAAGAAAGAACAGAAGAAATCTCTAGAAGAGAAACTAAATGAAATAGATCCAAGCAAGCTAACAGATACAGAGTTCAGAATTTTGTTTATAAGGATGCTCAACCATATTAGTAAGAGTTTTACAAAAATAACTGAGAAAATCAATGACATAATAAAGTCCCAGTTTGAAATGAAGGCTACATGAACTGAAATGAAGAATAGTTTACAGGTAATCAACAGTAGAGTAGAGGACACTGAGAATCAAATCAGCAATTTGGAGCACGAGGCAATAAAAAACACCCAACCAGACGAGCAAAAAGAAAAAAGAACCGAGAAATCCTCTGGGACAACTTCAAGAGGCCCAACATTCGTATTATTTGGGTACCAGAAGGAGAGGAAAGAGAGCAAGAAATTGAAAACCTATTTGAAAAAATAATTACAGAAAACTTCCCCTACCTGGGAAAAGAAATAGACTTACAAGCCCAGGAAGCACAAAGGGTCCCAAACAAGAGGAACCCAAAGAGGCCCACAGCAAGACACATCATAATTAAAATGCGAAAGGTTAAAGACAAAAAGAGAATCTTAAAAGCAGCAGGAGAAAAGCAATTAGTTACCTACAAGGGAGCACCCATATAACTGTCAGCTGATTTCTCAACAGAAACTTTGCAGGCCAGAAGAGAGTGGCAAGAAATATTCAAAGTGATGGAAAACGTGGAACTACAACCAAGATCGCTCTACCCAGCAAAGCTATCATTTAGAATTGAAGGTCAGATAAAGAGCTTCTCAGACAAGGAAAAGCTAAGAGTTCATCACCACCAGACCAGCACTACAGAAAATGTTGAAGGGTCTTCTTTAAGAAGAAGGTAATGAACAAAAGAATCTGACAAACTAAATAGATCCAGAGACACTGGTGCATGCAATAGAGGACCATGATATTTCAGAGGGAAGAAAGAAGGGGGGTGGAGGATGGGAAGATATTAACCAAAGAAGTTATTCGCATATAAGCATAACCCAGTCAATAATGGGGTGAAGGCCTGGGGAGCGGGTGGGAGCAAGGTGGAGGGAATCGATTGGGGGCGGGGGGAATGGGACACCTGTAATACTTTCAACAATAAAGATAAATTAAAAAAAAAAATCAGTTAAGATTTATTAAACAATTACATATAAACATACCTAGAATAGTGCCTAATTTATAGTATTTGATGAAACAAGATAGTCCATTTTCCCCTACTCAATGAAACTTTTCCTGATCTCTTTAGCTGTCAGTTCTGGGTATTGTTTATTCATGTATTCATGTGTCTATTTTTTATTTGTTGAATGCACAAAGGACTCTTCTACTTAATTTTACAAAAATAGTCGCTTGCCATTAAAATTAAACCATATAAAAATTTATAAAATGGAGTAAGATCATCCAGCTTCCTTAATTTCACACTACAAAGTTATCACAATTATATGTTTACTTTGCATATTTGTGAATTTTGTCCTATCCTCTTAAAAAGTACTTTATACAATACTGATTTTAGATGGCCCCAATGATTGGTCTTCTTGAATCTATGCTCTTTGCCCTGACTATGGACTGGCATTATGACTTGGTTTTGGCCAACATGGTGCAGTAGAGGGACACTGTGCAATCTGAGCCTAGGTCTTTGGAGGCATTATGAACCCCTCCGTCTTGGACACCTGGGCCTCCATGCAAATAAGCCTGGGCAAATAGCTAAAGGGTAAGAGACATTACAGGGAAGAGAGCCCAGTTGTCTCAGTCAAAGTTATCCTGGACCAGCTTCAAGCCAGATGATTTTCAAATATATGAGAGATCCCAGCAATGTCAGTAGAGATGCCTACCCTACATGCAGGTGATCTCAGGCACATGGGTAATTCCAGAAATAAAAACAACCACCCATTCGACTGGTTGACTTGTGAACAATAAAAAAGCTCATTGCTTTATGTTACTAAGTCTTTGACTAGTTTATTACTTAGCAATAGATAACTGAAAAATATATATTTACCTATAACTTTTTTCCATATTATCAATACTTTGGTTTTTTTTTTAATTTGACAATAGATGACATATATTTATAAAAAGTCAACCCTTTAAGAACTATATCAATATTTGATGATTGTACAGTATTAAAAGTGTTGCTAGCTTATCATTTTTAAATGTTTGGTGAAATTAGTAGATATATAAGGCAGCTTATCCAATAGCCCTGAATCATATATAATGAAAACTTCATTCTCCATACAAGTCTTTCCATTTTCAATAACACATTCTATATATCATTTATCTAAAATTTTTTTGTTTTGTTTTTCTGGTGGTGATCTTCAGAACTCTCAATAACCTACCTGTTTTATCCCTATATTTTCTGACATTAAATTCAAACAATGCCTACCAACTCACTATTACCTGGTCTCATATACTTGAGCTTTACTCCTGCAGTTTTATCTAAGGCTAAACCATCAATTTTTTCTTCTATTCACTCAATCTCACTTAGTCAAGGACATTGTTCAACAATAGTCTCATTGCTCTCCTGCATCATTATTTTTCCCACTAATCCTGTCATTATGATAACCCTAAAAAACACTATAATCCCCCCTTATTAAAACACCTTGCTGACTGGTCATGAGTATGCTCGTGTTTCTGTGTCCCAACGTTGCTGACCGGTTACGAGATAACTTGTTTCCGCACTTACATTAATTTAAGTAATTTTAAGGTCTGAAAGCAATGTAGAGTTTTAAAAGAGGAAAAGTAGCCAGCCACATGGTTGAGTTCCGGCTTAAAATAGCAGGTCAGCAAGATGTTAAAAATAACGCTCTTGATCCCATTTCCACACAACTCCTCAAAAGCATTCTTTACCCTTACTTTCCCCAAATGCTTTTGCATTCTTTCTTGAACTCTTTTGTCTCTACCCCTCTATCAAAACAACTCTCGTTAATGTAACTGGTGACTTCAATGTTGCCAAAATTAAATGTTAAGTGCTGTTATTTTTTTGACTTATTAGAATTATTTCACAGTGGTGTTTGCATGTCTTCCTGAAAACCTTCATTCATTTGCTTTCCAAATCACATCTTTATCTTGATTGTCCTGTTACTTCATTGGCTGCTATTCACATCTTTGGTTTTTGCTTTTTCCCCCCTCACCTGTTTAGCAGCGTCTCCAGTATCTTAGTTTTCAATACTGTTTATATACGTGAAGACACTCAAAACTTTAGCCTCCAGCTTATGCCTGTTCCCTGAATGCCATTCTCATATAACCAATGTCAACTGGGTGTATCTTTTGAATGTCTGGTAGACATCTAATTTTGATGCTTCAATCCCTCCAAACTCACCACCTTTGAGAGTGTGTCCTATTTTATTCTTTGAGGTATTAAAGCCAATTTCGCACTTCCTGTTATTCAGAGTAGAACACAGTTCTCTATTCTTTCTCAGAACTTCCTTCAGTTTTGCTGGCTATCCTTTCAAATAGTGAAGGCTGCTCACTACCCTCTCTTCTATCATCCAGATCTGGACTACCATCATATTTGAATTTTTGCAATAGCCTGTGCTCCTCTGCTTTGACCTTGGCCCTATCACTGTCATTGTCATCTTAACCCTATAGCCAGAGTGATCCTCATAAAATGTAACTCTGATAATTCAATTAATTATTCTCATAATTTCTCAGTAGATTCCTACCTTAGATGGGTATGATATTTATCGGGATGATCCCTTGGTAATTTAAATAATGTCTAATCACTGGAGTGTACACCTGAAGCTAATATAATATTGTATACCAACTGTAATTAAAAATTTTTAAATGATTTTAAAAAAATAAAAGATTTCAATTAATGAAATTTTGTTTTCCAAATATTTTTTACTTTTGGTTTTATTTTTTTGGAAGTCTAGTGCAAAATTTAATGGAATTATTTTTGACTTTTTAAACATAATACTGTAATATTTCTGCACAAGGATATTTATAGTGTGTCCCCAAAAATGTATACACACACTTTGAATAATTATAAAGGCAGTGTTTATTAAAATATATTTCATTTTCAAATTTGAGCTATCAGCTGTTAAAATGTGCATACATTTTTATGGGACACCCTCTATATTCTCATATTGTTTTTTCTCTATTCCTATTTTACTGTTAAGCTTTTATTAGGCCCATGCTGTTAAATTAAGAAATTGCTTTTCTTCCTCTTTTTCTAAGGTTTCATTTTAAATCACTAATGAATTATGAATATTATTAAATGCCTTTCTAAATATCTTTAAAATATCACACTTTTTTCTTTAATCTCTTGAAAAATGCTACCATAAATATTTCTGTTATTAAACTATAACTATATTCCCAGAGTTAATAGTAGCTGGCTAAAAATATTATTATTATAAAATATGTGGCTGGATTTGATTTGCTGACACCTTATTTAGAGTGTTTATGTCAATGTTCCTGAGAAATCAACCTACGTTTTTCTAACTTTACCTCAAAGCCATTAGTTTTGCATCAGTTTTTTACTAACCCTACAAAAGAATTTAAAGAGGTTACTTCTCTTTTTATTATCTGGAAGTATTTATATAGTTGAGCTCAGCACTTTCTTAGGGGTTTTGAAAGACATGTCTTTACAAACAGTTGTGTCTGTTAACTTTTTGCAGGTAGATATAACAAAAAATTAATGTATTTAATATTTTTTGATACATTTGGCTTTTTATTTCTTCATGGATTTTGTTGATTTGCTTTTTCTAGAATTTCATCTATATTACATATGACCGTATCATGACTTTTCTGCATTTATGTTCACTTGTGTTTATGGTTTTTTGATATCCCATAATGTCTTTGTGTTAATTCAAATTTTTAATAATCTTACTGAATGTCTTCTATTAGTATTTTTAAAAGACTAGCTTTTACTTTTTCTGACCTGTTCAATTTTTTTTGTCTCGATATCTCATTGATATTTTTAAATATTTATTATTTGCATTTTTCTCTTTTATTATTGGTTTGCTATTTTTCCGACTTCTCAAGTGAATTAACTGAGAGTAGAAAGAAAGATCCATGGGAATAATTTGCTAAAATAATAATTTGCTGAGAAAAAAGATTATCCGAGCCTATGATGTTGGTTAAGTACTAAATTAGCAAACTCTGAACCACACTACGCCGTGGGTTTGATGAGTGTACAGACGAGATGACCACTGTACAGCTCCTGTCTTCTCCTGTTGCCGAGGGCAAGTCCACGCTGGTTCTCTCCTCTCGGTAAACGCAGGTCCGATGAATCATGAGCTAGAAAATCCAGCTCGCTCCCTCCAGGTCGTTTCCATTCACCCACCATTGTAACTGAAGTTCTATTTTCTATTAAAGGACCCAAAGATGCAGCTTATTTGTTTTCATTTTTATTTAAATACCAAAGTTTAAATATATGTGCCACGCTGGGTAAGGTGCTCCTAGGAGTTGACCAAGGGGGCAAGGCGGCTGTAATCTCCTGAAGAGGAAAAACAGAACAGAAGGTGAGGGTGCAGCTCCCAGAAGCCTTTAATCCACCCTTGTCAGGAACCCTTTCCAACTTCCCCCTGGGCTTTTGCCGCTCCCCTTGGCTTCTGACTGGCACCTTTGCAGCATATGCACAGAAAGTACTCAGGAGGATCTTTGTAAAATCTAATCAGATGACCTCATTTCTATGTTCAAAAGCACTTAAAGGGCCCGGCTGGGGTGGCTCAATTGGTTGGGTGTTGTCATCACAGAGGTGGCTGGTTCGATTCCCTGTCATGGCACTTGCCCGAGGTGTGTGGGAGGCAGCTAATCGATATTTCTCTCTCTCCCTCCTCCCTCTCTCACTCTAAAAAAATAATCAATAAAAACATATTTGTTTTTTAGAAAAAAAGGCATTCAAAGGCATCCTATCTCACTCAGGATAAAAATTTTAGAACACTTACCATGTGATCACCAAGGCCCATGAGACCAGGATTTTCACCATTTTCTGAATTTGTCTCTGTCATTTCCCTCACTCTCATTCTCCTCCAGCCCACTGCCTTTTGGAAGTTCTTTAAACATCTTAAGCACATTTCTGCCTCAAGGCATTTGTACTTTCTAGTCCCCAAACTGTAACACTTTTTCTGCATAGAATAGCAAGTTTTGCTATCCCACTCTGTCCACTCTCTGTTCTGATTTCATTATTTTGTCACTTCAAAGAAGCCTTTCCTGTATAATCTATTACAGTACAACACCCATCTCTCTCATCTCTTTAACCTGCTTTATTTTTCTTCTTAGCTCTTATCACTGTGACAGATAGTTGCTTGTTTGTGTACTTAGAGTCTGTTTCCACTCACTAGAGTATGAGCATTCTGAGAGCAAGGACTCCATTTATTTTGTACACTGGTATATTCTAAGATTCTAGAACAGAACTCGGAACATTATAAGTGCTTGATAAATATTAGTCAAATAGCTCAATTCCTAAATGTGGTTCTATTAGACTAATTAGGCAATAAAACCTATTCTAATGGAGTATCTATGCAATTATGCAACCAGGGAGTCACAAACCAGGAGGAGAAGATGGTGGGTAAAGATTTAAAGAATTGAGATAAACTTTATAATAAAGTATAATTTAATTATGCTGTTGAAAGGGAGATTAATAATATAATACAGTATGATATAAAGCTGTCATGAGTGAGTAAAATAATTGTTGGCTCTAAACAAAATGAGCCCATTCTAAAATATATTTACACATACACACACAACAATGTGTGTTAACATGGATGCTTAAAGGGGTTTCCCAGCAATAATTAAGGACCTGAGAGCAGACTCAGAGTGTTCTGTGATCTACACTGTGAGAATAGTCAGAGAGCCAGAAACTGCATCAACACAAAAATTACAATCCAGGATATATTTTATACTGTCTGGTAATGGGAGTTCAAGGCCAATAATGTGATATCTGCACTTAAAGGACCAAATATCTGCTTCCTTCACACTCATTTCCTCTGTTTTCTGGTGTTTTTTTAGGATCTGAGGCAATGTTTGGTAATTCAGTGTGTGTGTGTGTGTGTGAGACAGAGAGACAGAAAGACAGAGAGACAGAGACAGAAAGAAATAGAAAGAGAAATAGAGAGAGAGAGGTGGGAGAGAAAAATTAGTAATAATGGAAGCATGAGTACATTTCTGTTTTATTAATTGCTCCTCTGTGTCCTTCATTGTTTATTACTTCTTGTCTTCCTGACTTCTCTCCTTGATTGGCTGACTGATAGATTAATTGATTTGGAGATAGAGGAGGTTACAGATTCCTAGAAGTAGAGCAAAAAATAACATCTAATCACCAAATTACATCAACAAGCAACATTAAGTTGACCACCCAAGCAAATGGCTGTCATTAGTCATTGGACCTCACCACCAGTATTACTTTCCCATTTATTATACCTGCCAATAGCTCTGAAACTTACTATTTTTAATTGCCAGGAAAAAGATAGAAATATCTTGACATGGATAGTCTTTCAATGGTGGGCATCTGGGCTCGAACATCTGGTTTTTCAAATGATAGTTGTACCTAAAAACAAAAAGAGGTTCTAGATGAAACATAACTCTTATACACTCTCAGAAAACATTTTGCACCATGAGCCAAACACTTCTGGGAATGAAGGGTACTCCTAGGGTTGATGGGACCAAGCCCATAAACATTCTAACTCCCTGTCACTGCCACCCTACTATTTAGAAGTAATGCCCAAGTTCAGAATATACTCTTTATCTCAAAGTAAACACCTCATGCTTAACCCAAGATCTTTCAAAGTTCATTTCTTCTCTTTTCCATGGATCTGAACTGATCTCCTGTGGTCAGTTCATAAGAACTGAATCTCAAAGATCCTCTACCTTCAACCTCCAAGACTAACTCCTCAATTCAATAAGGCACAAACCAAAATTTTGTCCCTAAGACCTGAACACAACAACTTTCACATCCTAACCACCAAGCTGACCTCTGAAGTTTTTTGTCACGGACTGATAAATGAGATTGTATTGATACCATTGTAATTAGCTCATTATTAGTAATAGGAAAGGAGCTAAGGGGGAAGACCAGACATTTTAGGCATGTCATTTGGGCAATTTCACCAGGAAGCTGCAATTTCACACTCCCCAGGGAACCACTCCCTGCAGATCACTAGGGGAAGGGGTCCAACAGGTGATGAACACATGCATAATGAGTTGAGGTGAAAGGGGAAAGTGCCTGTCAGTCAAACCTGGGGAATAATGCATTAGTTAGAGCAGGCAGGGCCATTGCAAACCCATGAAAATCTGGTAATGCATAATCCTGATGATAAAGGTGCTTGTTCTCTTGTGTGGTTCTTTTGGTTCTCTGGTTCCCTTGCCCCTGTTCTCTCCATAACCACATAGCCCATGGCCATGTGGACCCAACACATAATGTACTGATGGACTGCAACTGGGAACACAAATTAAGCTAGCCTGATGCTGTATTTGACTGTGGAGACATGGAACAGAAACTCTGGACCCTGGCTTCCATTTTAGATCTGCTGGAAACAAAATGGGATTTCTTTCTTGGCTGGATAGTGGGAAATGGAACCTCATAAACTCAGGGACATAAGTCCACAAAAATAAAGCTTTCTACAATATTTCATCCTCTTGTGCGAGTCTCAGAAAATTCCTTTTCCTGTGATATCGCAAGAAATCCACTCCCACCAGCAACCAGTGAGGAAGCGGATCTGTCCCCATTGATAACACTATTTCTAGACTATTTTTAGGAGAGAACAATACCCTTGAAAGTACAATGTCTAATTCCTGTTATCCAACAGGACTTAATTTCCTAAATTCCCACTCACAGAAACGCTAACTCACATTACAATGCAATCTTCTCCCATTTACTAGAGGTGTAGTTCTCTTTTCCCACAGGTGTGCTACTGTTCTCTAGAGTTTTGAACTTAAAAAACCACCACACTTTCCCATATTCTTAATACTAATACCTTTCACCCAAAAAAGGGGCGGAGCTGGAGGGAGAATATCTGTTCATTTATTCATGCATTTATTTATTGAATGGATATCAATTCCTATGTGCCAGCATGTTGAGGTGTTGAGCAAATTCCTGCCTGCATGAAGTTTGCATTCAATTGAGTAAATACAGGTAAAAAAACCAACAAAACATATACTGAATGGGTGGTAGTCAGAACAGTGGAAGAAAACAAATCAGGAGGGAGGAGGGAATAAGGAATATCTTGAGGTGGGGAAAGAATATTGTCTTCCTTTCTGGACCACTGCATTCAAAGAGTGTCTTCTCCTGTATTTTCTTTCACATGCCCTAGATCTTTTTTGTTATGGACCCTATCACAATCTCTAATGATACATTTGTTTGTTGGCCTACTTGTGTATTATCCATCTCTTTCACAAAAATGTAGATCCTAGGTAGCCTTATGATGACACACAATGTCTCATCTAACCCTGTGTCACCAGGATAGCAACAATTACGGAGTAGAACACCTAATATATATTTATTTAATTAATTAACCAATAAGAATTGATTTGAGATACTTTCCATTCTTTGACTTTATAGGCCATAACAGATAAGCTTCCATTTTAAATTATTTTGTTCAATTTTGATCTCCTGCTGTGGTGTATTGACATCTTTTTCCTAAATCAGATTTTAAAATCCCTGGATAACAGAAACCAGCCACTGCTCTGCTTTTGTTTACCCGTCAAAGTCTGTGATAGTCACTTGAATTAAGAATAATAGTAAAGTCTTCCTTCACATACACACACAAAAAATGATTAGAAAAAGAAAAAGAAGCTTACCTTCCGAAACACTTCCTCTAGGTGATAGCACCAAGAATATTTTCGGAAGCATGCGATTAGTTGTGCAATGAAAAGAGAACCTCTTTCGGGGTCTCTCCAGGATATATGATCTGTAAAGTTAAGGAGAGGTAAACCTTGGGTTGTGGCCTTGAATTTTTTTTTATTACATTTTTGTTTTATATGTTTTGTGTGTGTGTTTTTTTAAGCATAGTTTGGGAATTAATTTGACATATCTAGGGGAAATACTTAAACCTCTACATTAACTAATTTTCCACAAAGCGGGAAAAAAAACTGGAAGAGATTTAACTAAAGGGATAACTCATGAGAACCACATGATTGCATGATATTCTTGGAACTGACTCTTACTATGTGCCTCATGTTCATTTATTTGGCTTTGAAAATAGGCTTGAGAGATAACTGGAATTACTGCATTTTACAGAGGAAAGAATAGACAGTCAGAAGGATTAAGGAATTCCCCTACTCTCTTGTAGTAAGCAACAGAAAGTGGTCACCTGGCTCCAAGGTTGTTTACAGAATATATATCATACTGTCTTTCACAATATAATAAACAAAGTAGGTGGACAAATGCAAAGGAAACTTTTTGAGAGGAGGAATATGTTTGTGGCATAGATTGTGGTGATGGTTTCACAGGTGTGTACTTGTATCCAAATTCATGATTTTATATACAGGAAGTATATACAGCTTTTGGTACATCAATTAAACCTCCACGAGGTGGTTAAAAAAAAAGACTTGAAACAAAAATTTAAAAATTAGAAACACTCAAATGTAAGACTTTTTTTTAAGATGACTACCTAGAGGTCAAAAACTAAACACTGATCCCCCATTATTAGACCTAATAAGCCCCACAGAATCATTTTCTACCTCTTTTAAAGGACATCTGCACCCTGCTGAGCCCTGCACTGGCACCACTCTAAATAGCATCAAATGGAAATATGGAGAAAAGAGCTTGGAGTTGATCATTTAAGAAAGGGCAGCCAGTCCCAGGATCCATAAAAACTCTATTCAAAATGTTAAGTAGATTTGACAGAAAATTGAATCAACTATTTGGTTTGAAATAGTGTATGGTAAACGGGGTCCCTTGTGTTAGGTTGTTTTAATGTTTGAGGTACCTTTGACTGTAAAGAGTGCCGCTGATTTATAATAATAAAAGTAGAGTTTTAAAAAGTGGAAAATATAGAATCTGTGTTTCCATAGAATAGGTGAGATAAATGTAAATCGTTTTGACAGCACTTAGATCACTGCTGCATAGAGCCTATCTCTCTATGCTAGAAGCTTTCGGGGGTGGCCTCAGGCCCACAAATCCTGGACTGTCACCAAAAGACACATACGTGGGGTTGAAGAGCAGAAAGTAATGAAGTCCTTCTCCACGTGTGTTTTGTAAACGGCGTCGTCTTCCAGGCTCTCGGGTGACTGTGAAGAGCTGTCTGCCACGGCGGCTGGGGAGTCGCTGACCCACAGTTCTCCCGGCTTCTCTGTGGAGACATCAACAGTGTGCACACGGTGTGCCTCCCTCATTCTTTTTAAATGTTTATTCTCATTAGTTTCACACACACGGAGACACATACAGGCACTAAGCCTCTGCCCCCACACACATGACTTGGCTTCTCTCTAGCGTCTTTGAGCAATGTGTCGATTAATAGTGACAGCATTTTGTCAGTAAATAGTGACCGTATCATAAACCTGGAAGAAGCCATTTACTAAGAACAGCAAAGGGGTTCAAGCCTTATCTGCATAATTGCAGAGCCTACTTACCATTTTTTAACTAAGTAATTTCTGCTTTTTCTCCCAAACACTGTTCCAAAAAGCTGAGAGGCAATTGGAAGTCAGAAAAAAAGCAAAGGAAATTTTGACAGCAATCCCAAGTACCCTCATCTCCCTCCTCATTTCCCTGTCAATAATGCATGAGAAAGGGAAGGATGCTGCTACACAGAACAGCCCAGCTTTCGAATGAAATTCTTCTCAAGCCAGAGAATGTCAAAATGTCTGTAAAACATTTACAACTAAAGCTGTCATGAAAATGATCTCATTCCAAGGTTTAAATAATTTTGTTCAACTTTGATTTAAGGATTCTGAAGATCTCCTTCACTACTTATGTTGGATTAAATTGAATAGATATGTCTCAGCTGAAAAGACAATTTCTCACCATACCAAGCCCCTAACTGGAGCTTCCCAAGCATTCAGTTCACTTGATTTGCACTGAATGGGGTCTAAGATTATTTCCCCTAAAAACCAAACATGTCCCAATCCTCAGCAAACACCTCATGCCCTTTAGATTTTCCATATCAGAACTCACCACCTCTGCAGGCCTGGATAATGATGACCTTCGGTTTGTCCTTGAGACTGCGGCAGTTGCGATTGTTGAATATACGAAAGATGGTGTCATAAGGTAACACATCTTGTTTTTCAGCGCTATGCAGAGTCCCACAGATTCCATTCAGGATGCCATGAGACATGAACACGAGGAATGTACTATCTGAGGTCCTGTGCTCTGGCCGGGCAGCAAATGCCTCCAGCACGGACTCCATCTCCTGAAAAAGGCCACAAAATCTTACTTTAATAGGACAAGCATTCACATTAACCTGACCTTCTGCTTAATGTGAGCAGCAGAAGAAGCATCTGTAATGTTCCAGTCACTGTGCTTGATGATAGTCGTTTTCTTTTCCTTCCTGCAATGAAGCAGGGGGCTCAGCTGTCTGCTCCACATTATATGACCTGTCCCCCTGATACATTTCACCTTTGCTAATTTTCACTTACATACTTTTTTCTTGCTATCCCTGTCTTTTATCTCATTACTTAATAGGAACTTTGTGTCCTAAATGTATTATACCACTTCCCTTCAAAAACCTTCCTCACTGTACTGAGAATAAAATCAAACTGCTGACATATGTATATTCCCTCATTCCATCTTTTTCTCTTCCTCTAGGCTCTAGTCACACTGGTCTTTCTGTATTTCTCATGTGCCAGTTTCATATTTTGTTCAGACTTTTCATCTGTTACCATCCCTCTTAGAATGTATTTTATTCATTTATTTCCAGACTTGTGTTGTTACTGGTAGTCATCTGTCAGCTCCTATATTGTCTCCTAACAAGGCTTTTCTTGACCATTCCGCCAAAACAATCACTCCCCACTCACCAGTTTGCTCCTATGTTCCTTTTTTTCGCTTACTTTTAACTTTCTTTGCACTCTTACAGGGAGAAACAAAGACACCACATCTCTGAAATTTTCTGTATTGTTTTTAATTTGATTGCCCCCCTCCCCCCATCAGTAAACCTAAATCAGTGAGAACTTGGAACCCCCCGTCTCATTCACAGACCTATCCCCAGTGCAAAAATAGGCCCTGGGACAGAGTCAGAACTCAGTATTCACACGGTGAGTACAGGCCTTTAAAACATTCATTACTTTAGAATTTTCTGGGAATATTGGGTCTGAATCCCAATCATCTCACCTTGGAAGTAAGAATTGTGTGGGTACGCATGCCAATCACTTTTTGTGTAGTTTTATGGAATGGAGGATATTTGGAGCTTAAAAGAGAGAGAGATTTCACCTATCTAATAATTTTACTTTCTAAATACATGTATACACACACACACACAGATATGTGGTCTACGGTGGTTAAAGTATTTGACTAACACTATAAAGTTAATTTGTTAGTAAGAGGATGTGAGGGGCCCTTACCTTGGCAGTGAGTTTCTCTTCCGCAATCACACTGTAGCCGAGACCTGTGAGCAGCTTCTTCATCCCTGTGACGTCATGCTCAGCCCCCCTCCTGAGCTGAAGATGAACAAACTCTATATTGCATATGATGAGAGCCAGACGAGTGCGTGCCGTGCTCTCCTTTATTGGATAGATCTGCAGGAAATAGATATGCAGTGAGTTTGATTTGCCTAAATCTCTTTTAAACCTTCACATACTAATCACTGTTGCTTTGTTACAGGCTCATATAGCTGCCCTCTCCCTTCTCATGTACCAGAGACCCTGCCTTTTTCTTTGTAATGGATTGAATTGACAATAGAAAGAAGTGAGAATTGAAAGTGATTTAGAACCTTCCAGTTATTTAAAAATTAAAAATAAAATACACTGGGGGAAAAAAGTGATTTATTTTCCAAGAGCCCAGAACTAGTCGCAGAACATATTTGGGACAATTACTCAAGAATCTTGAGACTCCACAACCTGTGTATGTGCCGTGATCAGGAATCGAACTGTGATCTCTCAGATCATAGGTCAATGCTCAACCACTGAGCCACGCCGACCAGGCTCAGTATTATTTTTAAAACATCAATATAAAATGGGTTTCAGGCTGTAATTATATTTTTAAAACATGTTTTCTGTCTAGGCTTTTCAACTAGTATGCAAATAATTACTCAGCTACATTATCTTATAAATATTTTGATTCTATGACTATAGCTTAATTGTAGTAAGTCCCAAATAGATATTAGAACAAATAAATGAAGTAACAGATCTGTATTTTACCATAGGATTGAAAGAAAATTGGAATCTGTGTGAGGTTATGATTTCCTACTTGCTCAAAACATCTATGAAAAAGATTATCACTGTCCCCACCCCACCACTCTGCAATTAGTGTTTTAAGAAATTGTGTAGTTAGTGAAAGCAACAGTTTCTCTTTCTCTATTTTATGGATAGAACACATTACCTCTCCAGCCTTTTCTTTACACACTTTCAGGAAATGTTCACGAGGACACAGCTTGAGGGTATCTGTGGTTTCTGCTGACTCAACCGGTTTAGCCATTTCTGTAAGAGCTGCAAGATATATGGCATGACATCACATGATATAAATTTTAATACCTGTATCCGTGATCCAATTATCACCTAAGAATACTGACACAGAAGGTAAATCTTGAGAAGAATTTTTTTGTTCACTATTTTGTTTTTTTTAACATTTTTAATGTAGGAATTATAATTGTATCTAACCTCTAGTATGAAGAGATGTAACTGGGAAAGAAGGGAGAAATTCTTGGTAGCAGATCCACCCAAAAATGTAATAAAAGGAAAAACAGATGAAATTAATTTTAATAATAATTTATTTAACATAATATATCCAAACTATTATTTCAACATGTGTTATTACTCAAGCACTCAGTAGTCACAATGTGGCTGGTGGTTATCATATCGGATGGTATAACATACTAATTTACACAGAACACGGACACATACACATACTAAACACCTAATAGAATCCTGAATCTTGTACCAGCCAGCTATTATTTTTTCAGCTACTTCAGCCTGAATTCCTAACTTGTCCAGAGGAGACTGGCTGCTCTGATTCCTAGCCAAATTGTGAAGTCAGCTCTCTCAAGGGGAAATGCTATCTAGCAACCAGAGTGCTGACTCCAGGGTGAGAGGGACAATATTTTGCTTAGAGATTCTAACATACACTGGATATCCTGGACCCCAAAGGGCTGATCAACCAGCACTAAATTTTTAATCCATGTTTTAAAATGTGAGATAATAACTCCTCCCTGTTGGAGAAGCTTGTTTTCTGACTCATCCTTAGAGATATGTGACATGATCCCGCACCAAAACATGTGACTGAGGGTTTGCAAAAGGGTGGGAAAGTCCAGAGCTCTCCCCTGTCTGAGGAAGGAAGAGGAATTCATAAACAATTAGAAGAGAGGTTTGCCAAGATCTGGTTAACAATGACTTTGTCCATGATAGGAATAAACCTTGATTTTAGTTACATGAACAAACCAAGGCACTCTCTGATTTTATTTTATTTAAAAGAAAAAAAGCAATGTTATCCTGTATAAAATTTTCAGTTGTTATATTTTATAATTTTTTTCTATTTTACTCATTTATTTCTGTTAGTTGTTTTCATAATATATTTTGATAAATATCTTTCTGAAACGTACGTTAAGCACCTAAGCTCTGGAGATGCAGCACATTGTAAGTATTTAAGAAAACCAAGCTTTCTGAACATTTTTTTATAGATTAGACAGAGACATGCTCTCCTTTCTCATTCCAGAAGATTTTTGCAATGTAAAGACACTCAGCATACTGGGTTGGTCCCTCAGTAGAGGGTGTTTCTCATCAAAAACCTCCTCTGTTTCCAGTTTATTTACAAGCTTGCTGAACTCTCTAACTTAAGAAACCTCATCTCCTAATGATTGTTGTGTGTCTATGTATAGATATAGTGTTTGCAGTTAAAATTGGGAGTTAATATTTCCATGTTGCATCTAATGTTATAATTAGCAAGGAAACAAATTCTTTCATTACAACATAATAGATATTATAGTGCAGCCTGCTGCCTGCCCAAAAGGAATTTCCAGCAGCCTGCCAATGCAGCAGAAAGAAATGAGAGAATTAAGAGTGTAGATAAAACTGTTAATAGCTCAGTTTTATCTTTTACCTAATGAAATCTTTAGGAAACCCCTTTAATTGATACAAAATGGAAGGAACTGATACCAGATGAGACAAAGCCATCGCCCTTGGTAGCAGGTAGCAACTTGAGTATTTATCTCTCTGACTAAATAACAGTGCTTGGCGTATAGTATATATACATCTATATATATACATACATATATATATCTATATATACATACATACACATATATATTAGATCTTTAGCTAGAGCTAAATTATCTGGAGCTCAGAGAAGAGTGTAAGATGAGAGCTAAAATCTTAAGAGTGGTCAGCATATGCCTAGACTATGTTCTTGGCCTTACAAACCCTGTAAAGTTACTGAAATTGTCCCCATTTCACAAATGCTGAGACTGATGCCTAAGGAGGTTAAGGAACTTGAAGGAAGTCCTATATGTAGTGGCCAAAGTGACAGAACCGGGGTTCAGGATTAGGTGTCCCTAACTACAAAGTCTCTACAATGAGCTTTTTCCATGAATAATCTAAGCATAAGCTCGGCTTTGTACCTAATTGGAAATCGAATCCCCTCTCACAAAGGACAAGGCTGCCCCTAAAAGGACAATGATAGAGTTAGTGAAAATAATGTTTGAGTAATTTAAGGATGGGGGCAGTACAGAGGACTCTGGAGGGGCATTGGAGCTAAACAGATTCTGGAAAATTCGGGATAGTTGTTGTAAGTGATTCATTCTTACCTTTTGTACTGGTGGAATTTTTGTTTGTATTAAGAAAGGTCTGGACAAGGATTTGACCCGCTTCATGGTGTTTCTGTTTCACAGCATCCACTAAGACCCAGGCCTTGTCACTAGGTTTGGCATCATTAAATTTTTTCTTTTCAGTTTCCTCCAATTTCAGAACATCTTTTTTCACCAAGCCATCCAAAACTCCAGTTAAGAGTTCTTTCCCGATAGATTCCAAAGCCTTAAGTGGGTTTTTCTCACGTTCATCTGTCAGAAATATAAAGACACCTTCAACTTTAGGCACAACCTAAAGAGTTTGTCTTGTATTTAAAGAGCTCCCCATAATGTGAAATACTCTTGAGATACCTTCTTTTTCACCGTTTCCCCAAAAAAGTACATCGCTCTTTCATTATACCTGTGGAATTCTTTCCATGCATCAAATACATACTAGGCTTTGTTTAATGATTGGTTGCCACTTAAGGTTTTTTGATAGCTTCTCATCTCCTTTCTGTGACATTGAGCTAAATCTCATCAACTCCTCTAATATTTCTCTTTCTATTTTTCTCCATCTCATAGTGATGATGATCCACCTGCCATGTATGCTCCAAGGAAAGTCCATGCTCTTGTCTATAGTGTAAGGTCTTCCCACTAGACCATAGGATCTATTCTCTCCTCTGTATTTAGTTTCCTTGGTGAAAGCACTATGCTTTTGCATCCACAGTTTGTACCCTAATATTTTAAAATCTTGTCTCAATCAAAATTCAGAGTTGAAAAATAATCTGATAACTTATCTTTCAATATGGTAGATTAATTTGATACCAAGTTAATTTATTACTGTCTGGGATAATTTGAATTTTTATAGAGGAATATAGAAGTCAAAGTAATAAATCTCCTTTAATATCACAGGTATGATTTAGAAATATATATGGGAAGGAAGGATATCTCCTCAATTCTCAATTAATTATAAGTTGATTATTCAGTCCATCTAGATATAAGGATAGCCTTGCCTCAAAATGACACTTTCTAAGAAAATGTGTCAGGACATTGAACAAGAACTTGGGCCCAGAAAAAAACAGCCTCATCTTCCATGTTATCTTGACTTTTTCCTTCAATAAATGTTTATTTGGCAGTGATTATGAGAAAGAAATACAGAAATTATAAAACATAAATTAAATGTTACCTAATGTCAATTAACTTAATACTAGCTAACACCTCTTTCCCACTTATACTGATTGAAAAACAAATACATATAAAACAATGTAAATCATCATCACCATTATTGTTATTTATAAGTCTCTGTGCTAAATACAAATATTAATATGCCATATCATCACAATGAGAAAGACATTCTTTTTCTTATTTTATAGATCATTTGCCCCAAATCACACAAATTGGGATTCACATATTGTTTTTACAGCACAGTTTCAGTAATAATAGTTAATATTTATCAGGCCCCCATTCGCACCAAGTGTTATGCATGAACCTTCTCACTTAAACTTTACCAAAACTCCATCTAACTTGTATATTAATAATTCTATTAAAAAACAAACAAAGAGAAGCTAGTTAAGTAATTGACCCAAATTGTATGTATAGTCCACACTGCGTACAGTAAGCAAGGAGAAGGGATTCAAACTCAGGGGTTCAGACCCCCCACTCTTAAATCATCAAACTACATTACGTGATACTTGGTGAAGAGTTGCTTAAAATGATATAAAGTGCTGCAGGGACTCAAAGAAGACTGGGTAAATTTCTGCAGGTGAAGCCACAAACGCTTCTTAGAAAAGATAACAGAAACACTGAGATACAATGCAGTATACAGATGTTAGAACAGAGAGTTTGAAGAACTGCAAACAGTATGCAGGTTAGTGTGTGGAATATTTAGTCTGCCTAAGCTCCGGGCTTCAGTTGCATTTATCTGTGCACTCAACAAGGTGGTATAGTGTTGACTGTATACATGGCATGTGGAGAAATAGAGTTAACAATACAACCCAAGAGTGTGGTCCTAGTTCCTCTTCTCCTCATCTCTACATTCTCATGGCTTGATTATAAATTACCCCCAAATTTATAGATTCAGCCCAGATGTGGATATCAAAACTGAGACTCATATATCCATCTCCTCTCAATATTCCACAAACTTGTTAAACTCAGCTTTATAAAGTGGGTCTATTCATTTTTTATTCACCTGCTTTGTTCCCTAAACTAGCAAATGATATCTAAACACCAAGTACCTCAAACCAGTAAAACATGGTAATAATGGCTCTCTTCTGCTTTCTGAATAACTTAGTTTCCATCTTGCCTCAAATTGTACTGACTTTTATCTGTTAAATATTTGTGGAATCTGACTACTTCTCTCATTTCTAAGTGCACCCTATTCCATTTCAGGCCAGCATTCTTCCTTTTTTTTTTAATTACTTCAAGAACCTTATAAATCTAACTTTGGTTCCTTCTACTCTGTTTTCCACAACAAAGCAGAATTAGTATTCTAAAATCTAGAGTTGATACTGACACCTCTGAGCTTAGCTTAATTTAGGTCTTCTCATTCATTCACTCTCCTCTGCCACTTACCCACCTTGTTCACTACGTTCAGTTTCTAGAAAGCCCTTACAGCAAACCTCGGTTCTCGAACACCTCCCATCTAGAAGCAATTCAGTTCCCCACAAAGTTGTTCACAGAAAAATGTCTCCTTGTCAAACAAAAACTCTGTTCCTGACCAGACAACACTTTCATGCTGATACCTGAATGATCAGTCACGTGTCTCTCAGGCAACAAACAGAAGAAAGAATGTGCCAGTGTGAGCCAGTTTACCACCAAACCTCGTGTTGTTAACATCTCAGGAAATTGTGCTGTGAATATTTTTGTGTTTTGGTGGGTTTTTTTTTTTGCTTTTGTTGCTGCCTGTTATTATTAAATACATACAATAAATCACCATGGGTCCTAAAAACATCAGGGATAGCAAGAAAGTGAAAAGGAAAGTTGTAGGAACAATGATGGAGTTTAAAAAAGAAATAATTGCAAAGTATAATAGAGGTGTTCATGTGTCTGATCTGGCTACTGAGCATGGCATGGTGAAATCACAATAAGCACAATTTTAAAACATAAAGGGGCCATCAAGAGTGCTGATGTTGCCCGGCCGGGCGTGGCTCAGTGTTTGAGCGTCGACCTAGGATCCAGGCGATCGGGGTTCGATTCCCGGTCAGGGCACATGCCCTGGTTGTGGGCTCAATCAATGACTCTCTCATCATTGATGTTTCTATCTCTCTCTCTCCCTCTCCTTTCCTCTCTCTGAAATCAATAAAGATATATTAAAAAAAAAAAGAGTGCTGATGTTGCTAAGGATGTGAAAGTGCTCACGAAACAATGCTCACAGGCAATTGGGAAATGTTAAAACAGGAAATAATTTGGGGGCCTGGAACAGATTAATGCCATTTACATGATTTCTAATGGGAGAAAAAAAGTGATTGGTTTTCTAATAAATTGCTTCTCAAACAGACATCCGGAACAAATTAAGTTCCAGAGCTGAGGTTCTTCTGGGTGGGCAGTCTCCCACTCCCATATTTATTCCTGTTTCCCCACTCCTCCAAGACTAGACAGAGTGTCAGGTATATGCTCACAGGACACCTCGTTTCTCACTAGGCTAGCATTTTTTCCTAGTAGTTGTTAATTATTTTAATAATAGCTAACCAAACTTGGTTGTTCATATGTATGCGGCCATTTACTTGTTTTTGTCTCTTGCCTTTCAGTTTCTCACATCTATTGTCTGATGATGTCCTGACTGCAATCCAATAATCAGTGAGGCCATCTTGCCTGGACAAACAGGTAGCAGTGAGTGTGAATTTAACTTACTGCTCTCCAGCCAAATGCTGTATTAGTGTCATGAAGGAGACAAGAAAAGAAAGCAATCAACCCTTGTATTTTAGGAACTTAAGTTAAATGTCATAAAACCTGGAGAAAATTATATCATAAAGAGAATCAAAGAAATATATATATATATACATATATATATATATATATATGAAAAAGGAAGGTAAATACAGTAAATACAAAAATATTTTTGTGAAGCTGAATTCATATTTTAGAGGGACCAGTGGAAAAATGGATAAATATATTTTGAAAGGTAGGAAAACCTGTCCAAAAAGTTCAGACATTTTTAAAGAGGCCATAGGAAGCCACTATAGTTCCTGAGAAAGAAAATTACATGTATAGATATCTAGAATGTGAGAACTGAAAGATAACTAGTCATTTTTCCTAATGATTCAAATCTGCAAGCAAGCCTGTGCCTGGCCACCTATATGAGAATTAGATACAAATCTTTACAGGGTAAGAAATCCCTACAGTCTATTTAAGATTGAGAAATTCAGGGTCAGGATAATCTGAATAATCTGGATTTTAAAAAATGGTTACACATTCTTCAGGTTTGTTATAAAGTTTAGAAACTGCTGGTCTAGTTGAGCCCCTTCCTTTTCAAACGCGAGAATGAAACCAAAACTGCCCTGATGCAAGTGTGACCACGAACTGCATAAACAACTAATGGCCCCATTTCTTTGCTCTCCGAGCTTCTGTGTATAAGAAAAACGACCTGAGAACGGGGTGCAGGATGGACGGGAGGAAAACCTAGAGAGGGGGAGACTGGTGAAAAAACTGCGAGGGCAATCTAGGAAAAGCTGTCCTAGCGTCATCATTGGCACCAGGGCTAGAGGGAAAGGGGGTGAAAGAGTCACCTTAAAAGACCAAATGTGTAATTCGATACAGGGCAGGACAGAGGAAGGGGAGTCAAAGGTTCGTCTAGGCGGCTAGTCTGGGATCCATAGGGAGCGAGGAGATTTCAGGGCATTTAGCATCTTCAAGAGTTGCCTCACACACAGACAACTCACTCTGCCGGCCTGAGCCCTCCTCCCCTTTGTGACCATGAGCTGAAAGAAAGGAATGAACTCTTCCCGGGTCTAGAATACCTGGAAACCTCACTTCCCTTCTGCTTCCCCAAGGCAGTGTCACCTGGCTGATTCAGGTTACCCAGAGCCAGCAAGGAGAATTCCGCTTGCAAACCACCAGCTCTCGGCTCTCCTTTCCCTTTTGTTGTTTCTGTTTGTCACAGAGCAACAAATAAAGTGTTTCCTAAGACCCAGGTCCCTGACCTTTAGTCAGAAAAGAGCCCTACTCACCAGCCATAGGTAACAACAACAGCCTCAGTGCCTTCCCTCTGCTGTCAAGTGAGCCCCAGGCNGTCCCTGACCTTTAGTCAGAAAAGAGCCCTACTCACCAGCCATAGGTAACAACAACAGCCTCAGTGCCTTCCCTCTGCTGTCAAGTGAGGCCCAGGCTTGAAAATGAAACTCTGAGCATTTGCACAATGCAAGGGGAAGGGACAGCTAATCACGCATTGGGCAACGGCTGCTTAGAAGTAGACACCCGCTGCCGGGAAGTCCCCTGGGAAGAAAAATTTCTTACTTTAGGAAGAGAAAAAAAAATTGTAAATGACGAAAAATTTTCCTATGGACTTGCACTTCTGACTGGTTCCCTTTCNGGAAGAGAAAAAAAAATTGTAAATGACGAAAAATTTTCCTATGGACTTGCACTTCTGACTGGTTTCCTTTCTCTCTCTCTTCATTGCCTCCTTCCCTCTCTTCTTTCCCTGATGGCTCAGCATGCGTCCCCGCTCACCTAGAGGTCATGAAGCAGTGAAAACTAACAGGTCTCCTTTCATTTCCTGTTAAGAACTGTCCAATATAGCTTCTGTTTTCTGCTTCAACTGTGCTGGTATCCTCCCCTTCCTGTCTCCCTGTCATTTTGAGTTTTTATGGATAAGTTCTGAAGGAATCTCTGTCTCCACTCCCCTCATGCTTCTATTTAACCTCCCAAGCCTGAGGGTGACTTCTCACTACCCTTTTTTGATACTCTCTGAAGAATGAGTGACAGTAGAGGCTGTCTCAGGCTGTAGTAGAACAAATGCATGGTAATACAAAAGAAATATGTACAGAAGAACAGTTGAGGGGGAAAAAAAGAGTGATGNAGTAGAACAAATGCATGGTAATACAAAAGAAATATGTACAGAAGAACAGTCGAGGGGAAAAAAAAAAGAGTGACANGGTAATACAAAAGAAATATGTACAGAAGAACAGTTGAGGGGGAAAAAAAGAGTGATGGTCAACTTTGAAGGTCTTTAAAAGGTCAGAAATTCACCTCCACTCTTAATGGGTTAGGATTGGAAAGGGCTCATAATTGCAAGTGAAAAGGTCTTCCTTCCAGTTCTTCCCAACTCTCACAGTGCTGAGTGGAGGATTTCACCCCAAATTTATTACCACTGCACCACACAAGGATATTACTTTGTATACAACACATCCTAGCACTTATTCATAAGGTGTAGTGTATTATCAGCTAATTATTTTGTGCTTGTTGACTATCTTGTCTTCTCAATAAGACTGTAAACTATGAATTGCCTGAGGTTGAATCAAAATTACTTTCCATCCCTAAAATACCTTAAGGAAGAATAGAGGTATGTAATTTCTGGCTAAGGATTTGGCAGTGGTAAACTCTAAGATTTTGGATAAGTCACATATCACACTCTGCATCTCTCCTGCTGAGTTCCAGATTCTTTGATGTCAGGTAGCTACTGTGATTTGCATCTCTGTCCCTAAAACTGAAAGCCCAGAAAATGGTTTCTAGAAAGAAAGAATAGTGCTATTAGGTGCTTCAGTGCTCATGGATCAAGTCTAAAGATTCCAATTCCATTACAAGCTCCAAATTCTACCTCTGTCTTCTCAGAATAGAAAAACACCATGACAACTTTTCATTTTTTTATTTCAGATTTATTGGAACTTTTAAAAAAATGTCTTCTTCCTGCACGTATCATTCCAAAAACCAGAACAGAATGACAGAACTCCTGGTTTTCTACAAGAAAACACACACAAACAAACATTAAAAAAAAAAGAGTTCTGCTAAAATAAATGCAAGTTGAAAGATCACTCCACTTATGGGGACACACACACTCATAAAAAGGAAGAGCCCATGTTATGTCTAAATATTGCCCTGCTGCGTGAAAAAGAGGAGCATCTAAAACCAAGCTTTCATCATCTTTTGGCCACATTTCAATCTATATCTGCTATATCAACTGACCCTGAGAAAGGGACATCTAACTGCTGAACTTTGAGAGAAGAGCAATATGCTCTGCACTGAACCAGCAGAAAGCATCTTTTTAGTCCCTCTCATTTACCATACGAGACATTAAGACCTTGACCAGGATGAAGTTGAAGCCCTCTTCCTCAAGCTCACCCATCCCCACCACACACACACATCTGTCCATTGACATGATAGAACTTACTTATATTAATATCCTGGAAAGAGGTAGAAACGTCTTGTCAAAGTCATTCTTTCAGTGGTGGGCATCTGTGCCTTACCATCGGGTGACTCAAATGAAAATCGAACCTAAAAGGAAAAGAGAGTCTGTACTTTTTTCCCCCCTGAGTGGAAGAATCTTTACTTAAGTTGGAAAAATTACAAAAAAGTATAGCAAAATATATCATAAAAACAAAAAGGTTGTGCATCTGTAAGAATCATAGTAATATATATATCCAATCATGGAATGACCAGACTGTTTAAATCTATTGCTGGATCTAATAGCTATGGACACAGGCAAATTGGAGTCCACTTGTTTGTCTACTTAGGGCTAGAGGGGAGTTAAAATAAATTATTATTTTCTAGGGGTTGATTTCTAGATCATAGCAGATTGGATCTGGCTTGTAGGTTTTCTGATTCACCAAAGAACCTCAAAGTTCATTTGGAAAGGGCATTTCTGAAAGATAAGCATGTTTAGAGTTGCTTCCTAGGTTTCAACTGGAATAGTCAAATATCCAGGGAAATAGAGTATGAGAAACATCTAGAGCCTTACCTTTCGGAAAATTTCCTCCACATCACAGGACCAGGCATATTCTTGCAAACATTCGATGAGTTTAATAATAAAAAGAGAGCCCCGTTTGGGATGTCTCCAAGAAACATTATCTGTGAATAAAGCATGTTCCAAATCTCATGCAAAACTCTTGTCTGGCCATAAAAACAGAATTCTAGGACTTCCACTCCAGCTGAGGAAGGCTGTTAGTTCATACTGTTTTCTAGACACTCTTTGCCATTATTTAGTGAATATATTCAAAGTTTAGTGAGTATATTTTTACTGATACTCCACAATTATTAATGTCATATGAAGAATGCCATATATGGTGCAGTTATTAGCTTGGCATAGTCTCTGAGTTCAAGGACCTGCAAATCTAGTAGGTGGGGAGGAGAAGGCAGAATGGGGTAGAGGGAAGTGACTGGACCTTGGAGAAGAAATACCTGAGTGTGGATCCCAAGAGTGCTATTTACTGACTCTAATTTCAGTTAATTATACACTCCGAAACGCAAGGGCCTTGACTGTAAAAGGTAGGGAGGGTAATATATTCTGCCACAAAAATATATTGAAAGACCACATATAATGTATTATAAGTGTTTGGGAGAATATAGGATATGTTATACCCAGTGTATACAGAGTAACTATGTTAATAACCTTTAATATCTACCTTGTAAATAATTTAATTAAAATCAAATAATATTGATCATATGGTATTTGTACCAAAAAAATGTTAACTAAATATGAAAATGGTGCCAATATAAAAGAAATAAAAACCTAAAAATGGTTTAAGAGAAAAAGATCATATTGTACTAGAGGAAAAAACAGTCTTATGAAAGAGAAATATTGAAGAATGATATTAATTATATAAATAGTAGAGACATAGAAATCATGGAGCCATTTAAAAATTTTGCAAAGAAATATTTGAGAGAAAAGCTATGTATATAACCATGGACACAAGCTTTAACAGAGCCTTTTAGCCAATAATAATGGTAATAAAGTATATAATAAAAATAGATTAAAATTCTATTTAAAGTCACAGGTATTTTATGAAGCTGGTTCTAGTTAAAGGCAGGGGATGGGAGAGAGGGTGGAGGCAGAAATCTCCACAAGTTCTCTGTGAAATTAAGAGAGTAAATGGTCCCATATGTTCAGGAGAGCACCACAATGTACCTGTGATTACCAGAGACTGTGAAGCTAAGTTTCCTAGCGGAAGACAAAGGAATTGAAGTTTTTAAGAGTCATCTGCAACAGAAGGTTGAGGAAAAGAAAAGAAGAAGAGAAAACTCAGCACGATGGATGCTGAGAAGCCAAGGTGTCTATAAAGGACTCTATAGCCAGAGGCAAATCTTTTGTGGAATGCTGGAATCAAAGGTAGAAACCTTGAGTTAACTTAAAAATACAAACATCTTTAATAATAGCAATTATTTCATGTGTGGTTTACTCTGTATCATTCTCTCTCTCTTCTTTCTGTATATATATATATATATAATATATATAAAATCTCATTCAAATCTTAGAACAATGATATTTGTATTTACATACATCAGTGAGGAATTCAAAGAAAGCCCAGAGAGGCTAGATATCTAGAACTAGTTTATAAAATATGAAAAGGCAGGGTCAGGATATAATTGGCAGTATCCTTAACCCATAGCCTAGATTTAGAAATCATTAAGGTTTTTTCTTTTTCATCCACTCTATACTTCTAGTTGAAGACAGTTTAACTTAGAGACTCAATATGCTTTGTCAGCTTTTCTACCTCTCCCTGCCCCTGTAAATACTACTTTTCTGTAAATACATGATGAGGTCCAGGCAAATTGAACTCCTGATTGATCCCAACACTGTGAGCCTTTCCTACGTGGAGTCAGATTCTAATTCACTTCAGTGTAGATACTCCTCAATTGATCCCTTGCAGTTCCAGGAAACAATTTCTGCACCGTGGGAGTTTACTGATTACTAATTTAGTGTAAATATATGTACATTTGATCTCTGTGGATAAAGTTATTTGAAGGTTTAAACTGGGAGGACTGCTTTAGTTGTTTTTCAGAAATCTCATAGAAAGTTCAACAGATATCCATTCTCCATAGAGTGTGTGTGGGTTTCTGCATTGGTAATGCCCATGAAGGTGTCCTATACAGGCAGTCGTTACCTGGCGTTGAAGAGCAGAAAGCAATAAAATCCTTCTCTATGTGGGCTTTCTTAATGGCATCATCTTCAAAATCTTCTGGATCCAATGAGAAGCCAGTTCCAGGACCTCCTGATGAATCTTTTAACCACACCACCCCTTCATTCTCTAGAAAGACAAGATTTGGTATTTTGTTACTACCAACAGTGGAGAGAATTACTTTCTCCCTTAAACCTGTGTTCAACCATATTTACTAATTTATTTGTGGCTATCTTTCATTCAAATGCATATACACACATACACTAGAGGAACTATCTTTTTAACAACTCTTATTTCTACTAACCCTTAAATGAATTCTAATGGCATTGAAAAGTCAAAGTCCTAAGACTAAAAGTGGTATCTCTTTAGTTGAAAATGGAATAACTATCTACCAACTATTCATACAACTCACAGAAGCTACAGTTTTGTTTACAGACAGTACGTGTGCTTTGACATTAAGGAGCAGGCACAGAAAATGTATATCAATGAAGAGGTCACTACTTGTATGTCTTGTGTTCTAACAGACATCGCACTCACCACCACGGCAGGCCTGGACAATGATCACCTTGGGTTTGTCCTTCAAACTTGGACAGTTCCTAGTGTTCAAACTTTGAAAGATGGTGTTGATGTTTAATACATCTGAGACTTCCTCAGAGTGTTTCTTCCCGCAAATGCCTTCCCGAATACCATGAGACATGAACACCAGAAAAGTACTGTCAGAGTCCTTGTGTTCCTCCCGGGCAGCGAATGCCTTCAGCTCTGTAATCATGTCCTGGAAGAGACCATTCCATTAATTTTGCATGATGAGATTCATTATCATGGCATCTGGGGTATTCAATAAAAAGATACTTAAGGAATTCTTGGATGATATAAAAATCAATAGGGTACAAAAGAAAATTTAAGTTTCAATTCAAAGAAAGATGACATAGGGTTATAGGGTGTTGTTCAGGAATTTCTTATGGAGAGGAAAGGGTATTATTGTGTTAATAGAACAATTCCCAGATAAAAATTCCATGGACTCTTGCTAAAAGACTCTGTTAAAAGGGGTTAGTGTGGCATTAAGCACCTTCCAAGGGCAAATTTAAATTTTAAACTATCAAGAAATTAAATTTCTGGTGCTACAACCAAAAGTTCTTTAGTAAAATGAAGGGAGTGATCACTGACCCTACATTCTGGAAGAACTTACCGAAGCAGTGAGATTTTCTCTTACATCCACTGCATATCCCAGACCTTCTAGCAACATCTTCATACCTCTGATATCAGCATCAGCTCCAGTTCTCTTGGGAAGCTTGTCAAACTCTGTGTTGCAGATAATGAGGGCAATACGTTTGCGAGTAAGCTTTTCCATTATTGGGTAAATCTGTAGGAAATGAAAATTGTATAAACAGTCTTGTTCTCTTTTGTTAAATTTCATCTTGAGGGCATAAGATGGTTTCTCCTCCTATAGTCCTATCCAGAAACCAAATCTCATGAACCACATATAAGAACAGGGAGGGCAAATGAATCTTACTATAAGAGATGGAATAGAGCTTACAGATAAATGCCCAGATGACCACTTGATTTAATTATTTTTGAGAGTTAAGACTGTGAGAAAAGAACAGGCTTTGAAGCAAGAATGACAGAATTTTAAAACTGACTTCTCAGCTTACTGGTTTTGCCAAGAATATTTTATAATCCATGCCACAGTTTCCTGATCTATAAAATGGGCTATTTTTAAGATTCAAGGTGTTATTATGTGCAACACTGCTTAGAACAGTATCTGTTTTCTATTAAGCATTGAATGAATGTCATTGTTGTTATTATTATAATTATTTTCTCAGGGAATTGTATCAAACTTGGAACTCAATACATAAGCCTGGAACTAGGAGATAGAAATCCTTTATGTAAGGGAAGCAGCAGGATGATTTTCTAGGACTTCCTTAGGAAATTGGCTCTAAGAAAGTTCCAGTGCCCTTTCAAATGGTTTCCAGTGTTTCTTTCACCCAGATCCTGTTTTCTGAGAGTAGCACCTCTGCTGACTTTTCATTCCGTATCCTTTGGGCTATTTCTAGGGTGCAAAGCTTGAGGCTCCCTCCTGGTCCTGGGGATGCAAGGTTAGCTGGGTTTTCTTGCACTGCCTGGCGAGCTGCAACAGACAAGAAATATTATGAATAATGGCATCCCTGAGTGTCCCACTAGGTGCTCCTCACAGCATGATCTGCATGTGAAGTCACGGAGGAGAAAGTGAATCCTTAGAAGAAAAACCCCGGGCCAGTTGTTAACACTGTTGAGTGAGTCACTGCTATTGGAACACATCCCAAAACAGAGGAGATTTCCAGTGATGTGATATAAGAATCTACCTTTATCTCTTCTGACTAGCTTTTTTACATATATTTTAGGTTAAAGAATGAAAAGGGAATTTTTCAAGGCCATGCATGACAGGACTCTCAGGAAAAAGAAAATCAATATATTAGATAAAATAGTTAAGATATAAATTTATTTCTAATGATTTAAAGTTGAGAATAAAATTTAATGGAGGTGGAGCTTAATTACTCATTTTCAATGTTTTTAAAACTGTATATGTTTATTTATTTATATACTTAATAGACATGAGAGTAGACATTAGA